AGATGTACACATCATGTTTTAGCTGCTGAGGTTTCTTTGGGATGGTTTTATATGACCAAATCTTACAGTTTTAATTGAGGATTTCATAAGATCTTAAATCTTATTTAAGATTTTATGAAAGTGGAAGATGGTCTTGCTGTTTTGGAGCCTTAGCCCACTTGCCAAGATCATTTGCCATCTTAATTGTTATTATTTCATAAATAGCTTTCTTCATGTTCTGTGAAAAGTAGAGCACCAGCATCAAACATTTGAAGTGCCTCTAAAGGTCTTCTACAGGCCAGTCCTCGTCTATAATTCAGACATGTTTTTTTCTAGGCCAAACCCACAGCCCATTTCCACCTGCAGTGCTCTTCACATGCAGCACTGCAGCCTGCTGCATTTTACTGCATGAGTCACACGGTTTAAAAATAGCCTCACTGCTGTGCCCCTGCACTTACAATATATTTTTACAATATCGAGGTGTTGATACAGCATAATAGTCTGAAATGTTTTCTAAACCTGCAAGTGGTGAATGGTTCTCTCATGTCACACACACTCTATATATAAATAAATAGATCTATCTATCTATCTATCTATATTTATATATACGTATATATAGACATATGGAGAGAGATATAGATGGATAGGTAGGTAGGTAGATAGGTAGATTAGGTTAGGGTTAGGTCTCTAAGTCAGCAGAGCTTTGTATAAGGAAAACATGCTATTGTCAACAAAGAAATTAGCTCAAGTGCTCCTCCTTGTGGCAGCACTGAATTGCTGTCCTGAATTTAGACACTATATGTGTGTCACATGCATTTTAATATTGATTAGTAGTGACGAGTAAAAAACTGTTTCAGTGTCACTATTGATCTTTGCAAAGTATGTCCTGTCCCATTTTTCACCCACATCTAATTCAGAACCTACAGATGTACAGTTCCTAGTGCACTTTTGATGGACAAATCTGGCTTAAGCATGCCTGACTGAAAGAAGATTTATTTGTAATCCATGAAAAGTATATATATATAGTTTAACCTTTTTATGACCCTGTTTTGTAGTGAGACTAGACTTGACACTTTGAAACCTCATCATAATAGTAATACAAATACAAATCGGTCACTTTTTTTTTGTTAAAACTTCTCGTCATCTATAGTGTAAAAAGTACAAACAATTTTTAATACATCCTGTGTACGAGGGCATTGACAGAGTCTGTATCAGTGTCACCATGGATACAGCACAGGAGTGAATCAATTACTGGTGCTTCCCAGGGGAACTGCATTTGTCTCTAGGCTGAGGCCCAGCCAATCACTGTAAAGTCTTGAGGTGACATTGATTCTCCCCAACAAATCACATTTACACAATCACTTCCTTGTAGGTATATTACATTTTATTCTGTTGACGTGCCTGATTAATGGTCTTTCTACCTACACAACTGACCAAAGGAAGCATATGTCTGTGCCTCGTTTCATAACACACAGTTACCTTTCTATATAACTAACAATTTAAAGCTTTAATTGTGACGGTGTTATAACATTAACATTTCAAACTCTAATAACATGAACCTATACCACTGTGGAGTGGCACCGATTGTATTTGTTGTTTTACAGTGGTGTAAGAGATGTGATTTGGTGCCATTTGTTTCCAAATGAGTGGACTGTATTGTGCCTCTAGTCTCATGGGAAGATGCACGTTTTTTTTTTTTTTTTTTTTTTTCTTTGTCCTGGTTTTAATCTGTCTTGCTCATGCCACACCCTCTTTTGTTTACCTTCTTCCTAAAAATCAAACAAAAAAACAAACAAAAAAAGTAAAAAACATGCATCTCTTTGTACATGTAAACAAGCGTCTCTTTGTACATGTATTTCTTATGCTAAGTTTTTCTAATGTTAACCTTAATTCATACATTAAAAGGACATTATGGTAGTTTGTAAAGATATAGCCACTGCGTTTGGGTGTGGATGTTACACAGACCTGCAGAGGCGTAGAATATTGGGGAAGGACAATATAATACAAGTAAACAGCTTCCAGATCTCCGTGCTGCAATGATCTCACTATGACATCAGTAAGACAGTCAGCACATGTGGGCGGATGTTGTGTGTGCTCAAAGGGTGGGGGTGGTCTGAAGTCCCAGAAGGCACTGTGGCTACTGGGTAGGGCATGGCAGTATGGAAAGGTCAGCCCTTTATTAGGTGATAGGGGACTAATTCTGCTATTGATATACAGTCTCAGATAAGACATCATGCAGTTGCACAGCAGCATCGTCAATGCAGCACAAGTGTAAACAATTTCTGATGTTCTATGAGATTTAGACTGCAGAATTAATTGGATATTATATGTTATTTCAGTAAAATGAAAGAATTGGCTGACAGCTTTCAGAAAACAAGCCTGTGCCGGCTCATGGGTGTGGGTGTGTGCACATGCGTTATGTCGGTTCTAGGGATGGCGTTGCTATGGAGATCCAGCAGGAGGACAGAGAGAGAGAGAGGGAGTGAGGAGGGGGGACTCGCCCTAAAGCATTCTTTGGCAGCCCCCTCCCCCCTTCAGATGACATATATACAGGACATTCAATGCACTACAAAAATGTTGTTCTTAAAAACATGCATACGTTAAGAGGGGTGATATTTTGTTGATGTGGTGTGAGTCTATAAATAATTCAGTAAGTTTGAAGTCCTGCTGTCACCCTGTGCTAATGCTTTTCCTCCCAACACACTCACAGTCCTGAGTATTACACTTTGTATTGAAAGATTATGTTATGATCTTAGCAGTGGAGAAGTGAACTTTTATTATAAATCAATGTCCCTTTATAGTCAGTAGATATTGACAAATGTACTTTACGCTCTTATTTGAATATTGTTTTTAATATTGTTTACAGGTACGCTTCCGTATGGCAGTGGAGGATTAGGTGGCAAGCTGTGTGTTGAGCATCACCTTCATCTTGTGGCAAAGTCAGTGTCCATCCCATGGCTGTCTGGACGTGCACTGTAGTAGGCTACACTCTCACTGTGCTTTTCTGCTGTAATTACAACTATTTCTGTAAATATCCACAAAATGCATGTTGACAATAGTATTAATTGTGATTTGTAAATTAATCTCTCATTCATTAAAACTAAAGATCTTTGAAAACAATATATTTGCTTTCTGCTAAGGGAATAGTTCAGTGTTTTAAGTAAGTATAGTGTATTACCTAGAAGTGGAGAACAGTGCTAACAGGGACTAAACTACTTATAAGATATTATATGATATTTTTGATGCATTGTATTAAAAGTGCACTGTGTAACTTTTGTGGTGGAGTATCCGCCATCTGCTTGTCTCCATTGTGGTGTTATTGCTGCCTGAAATGTTCTACAGAATGGCAGTAAACAAATACAGCTTGTATTGATTCAATTACAGGTGTTTTTATTTTTGCACAACCACAGCAAAAACATGCATTATTTTTGTGGGCAGGTCCACTTCTCCACAGATCTGACCTGTAATGTGGCCTGTTGATGTGGCCTGCTTGATAGAGATAGTTTAATTTAAAGTCATACCATAGATCATTTCAGTGAAACAAAAACAAGGAATCAGAGTGGGGGACCTTCTGCCAGAAAAGTTACACAGTGCACTTTTAAGCTCCTTATTACAAAATAAGGTATGAGTAATACAGTGTAATATGACATGTTGAATAGCTGAATGTATACCTTTTCTTGCATGCTAAATGTTATTTTCAACACAAGCAGTAATGTATCTTGCTTTTTGGACAATGAAGAAGGACCGATTTTATACTTTTATTTGATATTGCACAAGCCACGTGTTTTAAGGGCTTTGTAATGCTGTGGGTGTCAAGTGATGTGCCATGTCTTGGGGTCTTTTGGCAAAGCAAAAGAGTGATGTAAAATACTTCTTGTTTACTTCTGTAAAGTTTACTCCCTGTTATATTTACTGCTGTGTGCTTTTAGAGTAAGGAGCGGGTTGTAAAAGTATAACTTAGGTAATACACTGTAAACACACTTATTTATGTATAATTTTCTACTAAAAACAAAACACTAAACTATTCCTTGTGTATATAAAGGTAATAATATTGATGTGACGCTATCAGCAAGTGGCAGAGCACAACCCTGCAATATGTCTCATTTGTGTGTTTTCTGTGTCAACTTCATTGTAGCAGTGATGTGCACGTGATTTTATTAAAAAGACATTGCTATAGGATTGATGCTATGGACTCTGACCTTCAAATAAACTATGGATCAGTTTTATTCATTGTATCCTGTATAAATGCCAAGGAGAGCTTTGTGTGTGCAAGTGCCATTGTTTCCACTACATTAAAATAATTGAACACACAGATTTTCATGGTGAGCTATCATTTATTATTGTTATTACTGTTATTATGGTGTTTCAGGTCATTGGAGATTGCAGCTGTGGAGGTTATTAATATTTGCAAATCAAATCATGCTCCCAGATGAAAGGACATGGGCTTTGAATCCAGGGCATAATCCCAGGATTAAACGGGTGGTGGGAGTTTCCATAGACTTGTTCCTGTAAAAATAAATGTGTGCTGAATTCCATCAAAAAGATTTGTTGTTATAACATACCTTTATATATACCTTTGCATAAACATAGCCTATATTAATGTAATATTCACCGCAATCTTATTAACGAGTTTTTTAAGAAAATAAATGCGATAAGGTGGACAGAATTATATAATGACATTGTCTTTTTATCCTTAAATACTATAAGAGAAAAAACATTGTGATTACATGCTGTATGCAAAATGTTTATGCAAGACAAAATAAATCAAAATTGTAGAGAAGCACTGTGCATCCATTGGCTCCACACTCTTGCTGTGACACACTTTGTCCACTTAGCTCCGCTGTTGGCCCACGGGATAGCTGAAAACCCAAGCATAAAAAGCCCCTCCTGTTTTCTCCAGTCTTCAATATTTTTAACAAAGAGCAGCAGCACGGAAAGGAAAATCATACATTTTCATAGGAAGTGTAAAGAGTTTACTCCAGATAATTAATAGTGTATTTGGAATATTTTACCCAAGAAACATGCGTTTACTATTGACATGGAGCTATTTTGGAATGGTTATTTATTTTTCACTGGATCTTCGCTTGAAAACGGTGTCGGGGCAGCTTTCTTACTCCGTGTCAGAGGAGGTCCACCCCGGAACTGCTGTTGGAAATATCGCAAAGGATTTAAACCTAAACCCTCAGGATTTGGAGTCCCGTATGTTTCAAATAGTTACCGGTTCAAAAAGGACATTCTTTGAAGTAAATCTGAAAACCGGAGTACTGTTAGTCAGTGAGAGAATTGACCGAGAGCAGCTGTGCGCTAAAGAAAATAAATGTTCTCTGAACATAGAAGCTGTTATTAGTAATCCTGTAAAGCTTTACCACATTGATGTAGAGGTTTTAGACGTCAATGATAATGCCCCAGTCTTTAAAAACAAAATTCAAAACCGAAATATTGCCGAGAATACATTGCCAGGTGTCAAATTTGTGCTGTCTCAAGCCAGTGATGGAGATGTAGGTAAGAATGGAGTCAGTAATTACAAATTAAGTCAAAATGATTATTTTACTTTGGCGGTGCACAAAGCGGGAGGCGGAGTGTCTGCGGAGTTAGTCTTGCAGAAAGCTCTGGACAGAGAAAAGCAGGCCCTGATCGCTATGACTCTGACTGCTGTAGATGGAGGGTCTCCACCAAGATCGGGCACCTCCCAGCTGGTGGTTAATGTTTTAGATATCAACGACAATATCCCGCTTTTTAGGGCATCTTTGTATAAGACAAAAATTCAAGAAAACGCAGCTATAGGTACCACGGTGATTGCTGTAAATGCTACCGACGCAGACGATGGACTTAATAGTGAGATTGTGTATGCTTTAGAAAACAGCGATCAGCAACAAATAACCGATCTATTTGAAATAGGAAATGATAATGGTGTAATCAGGCTTAAAGGTACTCTAGACTATGAAGAAATAAAGGCTTTTGAGATCCGTGTAGAGGCCAGTGATAGAGGCAGCCCGCCAATGTCAGCACACTGTAAGGTGCTTGTTGAAATAGAGGACTTGAATGACAACGCTCCAGAAATCACCATCACGTCTCTCCACAAGAGTGTGAGAGAGGACATTGGTGTGGGCACAGTGGTCGCCCTAATATCAGTTGCCGATAAAGATAGTGGTAAAAATGGCGAAGTTATAATCCAAATTGAAAATGAAGTTCCTCTGAAATTAGAGCCAAACTATAAAAACTATTACTCACTGTTAGTTGACGGACCAATGGACAGAGAAAGTGTGTCTTACTATGACGTTACTTTTGTAGCAACTGATAAAGGTATGCCATCACTCTCCAGCACAAGTGTAATCACCATTCACATTTTAGATGTTAATGACAACGTGCCTGTCTTCAGTGAAAATTTCATCAATATATATGTAAGGGAAAATGGTCAAACTGGTGAAATCATAAAAAGGGTATCTGCACTTGATGCTGATATTAATCAAAACAGTCGCATAGCTTATTTTATTATACACAGCAGTTTAGAGTTATCAGCCATGGTTAACATTAACCAAGAGACAGGGGACATAATGACTCTTCAGTCCTTTAACTTTGAGGAGCTCAAAACGTTTCAGTTTAAGGTCCAGGCCACAGACTCTGGTGTCCCTCCGCTCAGCAGCAACGTGACTGTGAACGTTTTTATTCTGGATGAAAATGACAATAGCCCCTCGATCCTGGCGCCCTATTCTGAGCACGGCTCCGTTAACAGTGAGAGCATCCCCTATTCCGCTGAAGCGGGCTACTTTGTGGCAAAGATCAGGGCTGTAGACGCAGACTCTGGGTACAACGCGCTGCTTTCTTATCACCTGTCTGAGCCCAAAGGGAACAACCTGTTCCGGATCGGGACCAGCAGCGGAGAGATCCGCACCAAGAGGAGGATGAGTGACAATGACCTGAAAAGTCACCCCTTGGTGGTGCTGGTGTGTGATAACGGAGAGCCCTCCCTGTCCGCCACTGTGTCTATTGATGTAGTGGTGGTGGAGAGCACAGCGGACATTCAGACTCAGTTCAGACATGTGCCCATAAAGGAGGAGAGCTTCTCGGATTTAAACCTGTACCTGCTCATCGCCATTGTGGCGGTGTCAGTCATCTTTCTGCTCAGTCTCATCACGTTAATAGCAGTCAGATGTCACAGGACAGAGAGCTCTTTCAACAGGTACAGCGCCCCCATGATCACCACCCACCCTGACGGGAGCTGGTCCTACTCCAAATCCACTCAGCAGTATGACGTGTGCTTCAGCTCAGACACACTCAAGAGCGACGTAGTCGTTTTCCCCGCACCGTTTCCTCCTGTAGATGCAGAACTGATCAGTATTAACGGAGGAGACACTTTCACCAGAACACAGACTTTACCAATTAAGGTAAGGTCAATTTTATCTGTTTTTTAATAAAAGTTTTATATACTCACACCTTACTTGGCAGGAACATAAACATACATGTTTGTTCTCTAATATCTTCTCAACTAAGTTCACTGAGCTGTCCGTGATCCTGAAGACAAGGATTTGATTTTTCGGAAAAGAGTGCGATATGCTATGAATACTGATCTTTTTGTTCTTCCCTTGTTGGTGTATAAAACTTTAGTGAAGGATTCCTGCTGGAACAAAGTCAAGTCTGTCATTTTGTCCTTAGGCAAGACACTTTACCCACTTTGCTTAGTATAAAAGACGGTGTTTGCGTGAGTGAATGGTGGCAGTCGGAGGGACACAGATGTGCAGCCTCACCACATCAGTCTACTCCGTACAACTGTGAGTGTAGTAGCTTACCACCCAAAAATACGCTAATCAGTAATAACTATAATGCAGCGCTCTGAGAGGCTTTGACACTTTGCCAAGCCTGTAAAGCACAAGTGTAATAATAACAATGTGCCTCTTCTTCTTCTTCTTCTTCTTCTTCTTATTATTATTATTATAGTAGTAGTTTTATGAAACATGTTTGATTTGATATAATTCCATTATTATAATAATTCCTAATTAGCACTCAAGCTACAACCTCGTACAATGCATCTCTCCTGTTAAGGTTAAAGTAAAAATTGTGCACTGTCCCTGTCTCAAATAAATAAATAAATAAATACTTCATTTATATAATTATATATTTAATATAATATATTTGTTCACATTTCCTATATTTAGCCTACCAATTTTACGGAAGACCCTGTCTGCTGTACTTACCACCAGTGAGTAGGTGTATTTCTGTTGATTATTTGCTTGCTATAGAATACTACAGCTACAACAACAACAACAACTACTACTACTAATCTACTATTACTACTATTACTACTATTACTACTGCTACTACTACTGCTACTACTGCTACTACTACTACTACTACTACTACTACTACTACTACTAATAATAATAATAATAGTAAATTCTTCTTCTTCTTCTTCTCATTATTATTATTATTATTATTATTATTATTATTATTATTATTATTATTATTATAACCCAAAACATGCTACAGGTCTCCATAAACAGTTGATAGTCAAGGCCAGTTAAATACAATCAATTCAATCATTGTGTGTGTGTGTGTGTGTGTGTGTGTGTGTGTGTGTGTGTGTGTGTGTGTGTGAGTGATGGTGGTGGTCGGAGGGACCAATGGTGCCGATTGGCATGGCAGCCGCGCTTTTGTCAGTGTGCCCCAGGGGAGCTGTGGCTACAATAGTAGCTTACCATCACCAGGGTATAGAGTGAATGAATGAATGCTGAATGAATAATGCTGAATAATGCTCTGTAATGTGTCTTTGGGGACAGAAAATGTCTGTGAAAAGCGCTATATAAATAAAGACTTACTATTATTATTATTATTATTATTATTATTATTATTATTATTATTATTATTATTATTATTATTAGATTTATACTGCCATTTGAGAAACACAATAGGCTTGGTTTAGTAAAACGAGCTGTCCACAAGAGGGCAGTGTAGACCACTCGGTTTTTCAAGGGCGTAGTGCTCCTCCCATATTCAATAGACGGATCTGTCTGTAGGCTTTGTTACGACTGGTTGGACGACAAAAGAGGGGTTCTTGGTTTCCTAAAAATGACCGTTTATACGGTGTGTGTGTGTTTTTTTTTTTTTATGATGTATTTATATTGAGGATATAGTTGTTTTTCCCTTCCTGCGCTCGTCCTGTGTGGTGGAATAATGTCTATCTTGGGCACGTCGAGCTCCGTGAGGATTTATCTCTGGGTCGTGTTGTTAGTTTGTTTCAGGACACCCGTTTCTGGGCAGCTTTCTTACACTGTTTCAGAGGAGGTTAACATCGGAACTTTTGTGGGGAATATTGCCAAGGATCTCAATCTTCAACCGCAAGAACTGCAGTCACGTAATTTCAAGATTGTTTCTGGATCAAGGTATAATTTTTTTGCAATAGATCTAAAGACTGGCTTCCTGTACGTCAAAGACAGAATAGACAGAGAGGAGCTTTGCAGTGATGAGCCACAATGTTTGCTCAACAATGAAGCCGTTATAAATAATCCCATGAAACTTTACAGAATCGAGGTAACGATCCTAGACGTAAATGATAATGCCCCAAATTTCAGTAGTTCTTCTCAGAACATTGATATAACTGAAAATACAGCACCAGGCACAAAATTTCCATTACAGACCGCGTATGACGCAGATATTGGTGTAAATAATGTAAATGCCTACACCTTGAGCCAAAATGACTATTTCACACTGTTTTTTCAGAAAGGAGAAGGTGTAACTCCAGAATTAATGCTTCAGAAGTTGCTGGACAGAGAAAAGCAGTCAATGATCAAATTAACACTAACCGCTTTTGATGGAGGAACACCAGCTAAGTCAGGCACAATGGCCGTTGTAATAAATGTTTTAGACACAAACGATAACGCTCCGGTTTTCAGTCAACGTTTATATAAGGCTTCAATACAAGAAAACACACCAATCGGAACATCGATTATTACTGTCAACGCCACTGATCTAGACACAGGAAAAAATGGTAAAGTTTTTTATTCTCTGAGTAAATTAGGTAGAGGAAAAGAAGCAGAAATATTTACTATAGACGAGCAAATAGGAACGATAACGAATAAAATGCCCATAGACTTTGAGGACTATAATGCATTTGAGATCAGAGTCTTAGCACGTGATGGAGCAACATCTCCCCTTATATCTCATACTAAATTGCTTATTGAAGTATTAGATGTAAATGACAACGCGCCCGAAATCTCTGTCACGTCTCTGCTAGACGTGGTCAAAGAAGACGTGTCCATAGGTACCGCTGTTGCGCTAGTTTCAGTGTCTGACAGAGATGGAGGTAAAAACGGTCAGGTCCAGTGTCGTATAAACAATAATGTCCCCTTTAAACTTGAAACTAATTATAAAAATTACTATTCACTGGTGGTGAACGGTCCTTTAGACAGAGAAAGTACTGGTCAGTATAATATTAGCATTTCTGCCATTGATGAAGGCAGCCCACCTCTGACCAGCACGAGCCTTATAACTGTGCACGTGTCAGATGTGAATGACAACAGTCCCGTGTTCACAGAAAGTCTCGTAAACATTTATCTAAAGGAGAACAGTGCTGTGGGATCAGTCATTAAAACAGTAACAGCAGCTGACGCTGACGTAGATCAAAACGGTCACGTGACCTATTCCCTCTTAAAACATCCGGGTGAGTCTGTGCACCTGTCCACGATGGTGAATATAAACTCAGAGACAGGAGACATAGTGACGTTACAGACTTTTAACTTTGAGGAGCTCAAAACGTTTCAGTTTAAGGTCCAGGCCACAGACTCTGGTGTCCCTCCGCTCAGCAGCAACGTGACTGTGAACGTTTTTATTCTGGATGAAAATGACAATAGCCCCTCGATCCTGGCGCCCTATTCTGAGCACGGCTCCGTTAACAGTGAGAGCATCCCCTATTCCGCTGAAGCGGGCTACTTTGTGGCAAAGATCAGGGCTGTAGACGCAGACTCTGGGTACAACGCGCTGCTTTCTTATCACCTGTCTGAGCCCAAAGGGAACAACCTGTTCCGGATCGGGACCAGCAGCGGAGAGATCCGCACCAAGAGGAGGATGAGTGACAATGACCTGAAAAGTCACCCCTTGGTGGTGCTGGTGTGTGATAACGGAGAGCCCTCCCTGTCCGCCACTGTGTCTATTGATGTAGTGGTGGTGGAGAGCACAGCGGACATTCAGACTCAGTTCAGACATGTGCCCATAAAGGAGGAGAGCTTCTCGGATTTAAACCTGTACCTGCTCATCGCCATTGTGGCGGTGTCAGTCATCTTTCTGCTCAGTCTCATCACGTTAATAGCAGTCAGATGTCACAGGACAGAGAGCTCTTTCAACAGGTACAGCGCCCCCATGATCACCACCCACCCTGACGGGAGCTGGTCCTACTCCAAATCCACTCAGCAGTATGACGTGTGCTTCAGCTCAGACACACTCAAGAGCGACGTAGTCGTTTTCCCCGCACCGTTTCCTCCTGTAGATGCAGAACTGATCAGTATTAACGGAGGAGACACTTTCACCAGGACACAGACTTTACCTAATACAGACAAGGTAAGAACCTAAATGCATTTGATTCAAACGATTGAGAAAAAAATAATAATATATTTTTAACATAAATTGAGCCATATCACACTTTTCAGCTTGGGCTACTGGTAGCGCTGTCCATGGTCCTGAATGTGCTTTTAACGTTGTGGTAACATGTATCTTCTATTAGTCACTGCAGTAGTTTTTTGTCAGTTAGTAGTGGTAAATTTGTATTTGCAAAAACCTTTATTTTTAAAAAAGTGTAATTGAGACGGATGTCCACATGAGGTCACTGTACACCATAACTTTTGTGGAGTTTTGGCTCCTCCCTGGTTGAGGCATGATGATGGGCTTTGTTGCAAGGAGACGTCGAACGACAAAGGAATACTTCGTTTCAACAATGCCCCTCGGACATCTTCTTGTGGCTATGTGTGTATAGATGTTTTATATTTGTACTGCCTTGAACGGTTGGAATAATGTGTTTCACGAGCTTCGTGAGGATTTATCTCTCTCTTGTGTTGTTGGATTGTTATTGGACATCGGTTTTGGGACAGCTCTCCTACACGGTTTCTGAGGAGGTGAACATCGGGACGTTTGTGGGAAACATTGCCAAAGATTTGACTCTTACCATGCAAGAATTGCAGTCTCGAAAATTTCAAGTTATTTCTGGAACAAAACGGAAATATTTTGAGGTAAATCTTAAGACCGGTGTCTTATTCGTTAACGAAAGAATAGACCGCGAGGAGCTCTGCGGTGACGAGACCAAATGCTCACTAAATGTAGAGGCGGTGATGAACAACCCACTTAAACTGTACAGGATTGAATTTACAATATTAGACGTGAATGACAATGCCCCTTCGTTTAGTAGCAAATCACAAATTATAAACATAACTGAAACAAATACATTACCGGGGGTCAAATTCCCACTGAAATTAGCCTATGACGCAGACGTGGGCAAGAACGACATTCACAGCTACAGGCTTAGTCAAAGTGAATATTTTTCTCTTACATCTCACCAAGGAGCTGCTGTAACTACAGAACTGGTCCTACAGAAAATTTTAGACCGTGAAAAGCAGTCAACTATCAGGCTCACTTTAACTGCTGTTGATGGAGGAACGCCCGCAAAATCAGGCACAACTGCCATCATCATTAATGTCTTAGATGTAAATGACAACGCCCCTGTGTTCAGTAAAAACTTATATAAAACTACTGTTCATGAAAATGTCCCAGTAGGAACTTCTATTATCACAGTAAATGCTACAGATATAGATGAAGGAATAAACGGAGAGATTGTGTATTCATTTATAGATCTTGAACAGAATAAACGGACCGATGTATTTGCCATTGACGAAAAAACAGGAACTGTGACGAACATAAAAAACATAGACTTTGAGGAGAATTCAGCATTTGAGGTCAGAGTCCAGGCCCGTGATAAAGCGACGTCTCCAATGAGTTCGCACGCAAAGATTTTGATCGAAGTATTAGATGTAAATGACAACGCGCCCGAAATCTCTGTCACGTCTCTGTTAGACACGGTCAAAGAAGACGCGACTGTGGGCACCGCCATTGCGCTGGTTTCAGTCTCTGACAGAGATGGAGGTAAAAACGGTCAAGTCCAGTGTCGTATAAACAATAATGTCCCCTTTAAACTTGAAACTAATTATAAAAATTACTATTCACTGGTGGTGAACGGTCCTTTAGACAGAGAAAGTACTCGTCAGTATAATATTAGCATTTCTGCCATTGATGAAGGCAGCCCACCTCTGACCAGCACGAGCCTTATAACTGTGCACGTGTCAGATGTGAATGACAACAGTCCCGTGTTCACAGAAAGTCTCGTAAACATTTATCTAAAGGAGAACAGTGCTGTGGGATCAGTCATTAAAACAGTAACAGCAGATGACGCTGACGTAGATCAAAACGGTCACGTGACCTATTCCCTCTTAAAACATCCGGGTGAGTCTGTGCACCTGTCCACGATGGTGAATATAAACTCAGAGACAGGAGACATAGTGACGTTACAGACTTTTAACTTTGAGGAGCTTAAAACGTTTCAGTTTAAGGTCCAGGCCACAGACTCTGGTGTCCCTCCGCTCAGCAGCAACGTGACTGTGAACGTTTTTATTCTGGATGAAAATGACAATAGCCCCTCGATCCTGGCGCCCTATTCTGAGCACGGCTCCGTTAACAGTGAGAGCATCCCCTATTCCGCTGAAGCGGGCTACTTTGTGGCAAAGATCAGGGCTGTAGACGCAGACTCTGGGTACAACGCGCTGCTTTCTTATCACCTGTCTGAGCCCAAAGGGAACAACCTGTTCCGGATCGGGACCAGCAGCGGAGAGATCCGCACCAAGAGGAGGATGAGTGACAATGACCTGAAAAGTCACCCCTTGGTGGTGCTGGTGTGTGATAACGGAGAGCCCTCCCTGTCCGCCACTGTGTCTATTGATGTAGTGGTGGTGGAGAGCACAGCGGACATTCAGACTCAGTTCAGACATGTGCCCATAAAGGAGGAGAGCTTCTCGGATTTAAACCTGTACCTGCTCATCGCCATTGTGGCGGTGTCAGTCATCTTTCTGCTCAGTCTCATCACGTTAATAGCAGTCAGATGTCACAGGACAGAGAGCTCTTTCAACAGGTACAGCGCCCCCATGATCACCACCCACCCTGACGGGAGCTGGTCCTACTCCAAATCCACTCAGCAGTATGACGTGTGCTTCAGCTCAGACACACTCAAGAGCGACGTAGTGGTTTTCCCCGCACCGTTTCCTCCTGTAGATGCAGAACTGATCAGTATTAACGGAGGAGACACTTTCACCAGGACACAGACTTTACCTAATACAGACAAGGTAAGAAACTAAATGCATTTGATTCAAACGATTAAGAAAAGTTTTGTAACATATTTTTCTTTAACACAATCTGAGCCATAGCCTTATTTTCAGGTTAGGGTACTGGTGGCGCTTCCCATGGTCCTGAATCTGCTTTTAATGTTTTGATACCATAAATCTACTATAGGTGCAAATGTAGTATTACTTTTTAAGTTTTAAATAAACTCTTATGTGCAAAAAGGTGTAATTGAGACGGATGTCCACATTACCTAATACAGACAAGGTAAGAGTATTATAATTCGAAAATTGGTTTTCTGTAATATTAAAGTGAAATGCTATTTTTCAGTTTTAAATCAAATGTATAGGGTAGATATTTAATGTTTACTGTGGCAATTCCTTTCTCGTTCAAATAAAAACAATTTATTTAACAGTTATTCATGATGTGCAATTTTAATGCATATGCATTTCTATCCACCGCGTTCTTTATTTGATAATGAGAATGCAGTTATAGTTTTTAATTAAAACATTTTCACGTATCATCTTTGAACTCTCAAAATAATCTTATATGTAGTGTAATCATAACAGGAATCAGGTAAAATGGCTTCTGTCTTCACATTAAATAGCCTGAGTATATCTCGTTTTCACCTTCGTTTTAGAATTCTTTGGTTATGCAGCACCACCACGTAGTGTCGCTGTAGACCATGACAAGTAAACATCGCGCCCCTCCCAAGAACAAAACCTTTCCACAGTTTTTTTCAAACACAAAAGCTTCACGGGACCTGGTCGGTGGCGATGGAGTGCGACATAGTTAATGTAGAAAGTCTTTAAACAGCGTTCTGGATTCATAATGTCTTTTCTGTGCCAATGTGGATTAATGGCTTTTGGAAACATGTTTTTGACGAGTAGGAGCTCTGTTTTCTTCTTTGTGCTCGTTTTGCTGGATTGTGATTTGAGATTGGTGCATGGCCAGTTGTCTTACTCTGTGTATGAGGAGGTGAACGTCGGGACCAATGTTGGGAATATAGCCAAGGACCTAAACCTCAATGTACAAGATTTAGAGACTCGGGGATTTCAAATTGTCGAGGGGATAAAAATGAAGTATTTCGACGTGAATCGTAAGACTGGATTTCTTTACGTGAGAGAAAGAATAAACCGCGAGGAGTTGTGCCCTGGTGAAATTAAATGCAGCATTACTGTAGAGGCCGTGATAAATAATCCTCTGAAACTGTACCGTTTTGAGGTCGAAATCAAAGACATCAATGATAACTCTCCCTCGTTCACGTGTCAGATGTGAATGACAACAGTCCCGTGTTCACAGAAAGTCTCGTAAACATTTATCTAAAGGAGAACAGTGCTGTGGGATCAGTCATTAAAACAGTAACAGCAGATGACGCTGACGTAGATCAAAACGGTCACGTGACTTATTCCCTCTTAAAACATCCGGGTGAGTCTGTGCACCTGTCCACGATGGTGAATATAAACTCAGAGACAGGAGACATAGTGACGTTACAGACTTTTAACTTTGAGGAGCTCAAAACGTTTCAGTTTAAGGTCCAGGCCACAGACTCTGGTGTCCCTCCGCTCAGCAGCAACGTGACTGTGAACGTTTTTATTCTGGATGAAAATGACAATAGCCCCTCGATCCTGGCGCCCTATTCTGAGCACGGCTCCGTTAACAGTGAGAGCATCCCCTATTCCGCTGAAGCGGGCTACTTTGTGGCAAAGATCAGGGCTGTAGACGCAGACTCTGGGTACAACGCGCTGCTTTCTTATCACCTGTCTGAGCCCAAAGGGAACAACCTGTTCCGGATCGGGACCAGCAGCGGAGAGATCCGCACCAAGAGGAGGATGAGTGACAATGACCTGAAAAGTCACCCCTTGGTGGTGCTGGTGTGTGATAACGGAGAGCCCTCCCTGTCCGCCACTGTGTCTATTGATGTAGTGGTGGTGGAGAGCACAGCGGACATTCAGACTCAGTTCAGACATGTGCCCATAAAGGAGGAGAGCTTCTCGGATTTAAACCTGTACCTGCTCATCGCCATTGTGGCGGTGTCAGTCATCTTTCTGCTCAGTCTCATCACGTTAATAGCAGTCAGATGTCACAGGACAGAGAGCTCTTTCAACAGGTACAGCGCCCCCATGATCACCACCCACCCTGACGGGAGCTGGTCCTACTCCAAATCCACTCAGCAGTATGACGTGTGCTTCAGCTCAGACACACTCAAGAGCGACGTAGTGGTTTTCCCCGCACCGTTTCCTCCTGTAGATGCAGAACTGATCAGTATTAACGGAGGAGACACTTTCACCAGGACACAGACTTTACCTAATACAGACAAGGTATGGATTTCACTCATGTTTTTATTTTAAATGCAGTTGTGCAGAATATTTACAAGCAAACTGGACTATAGAACATCCACCAGTAGTCACCCAAACAAACGTGCAACAATGGGAATATGTATACTTGGATTTATAGGCTGTTGTGACATTCACTTGTATTGGCTGTTTTGTTAGATAATTTCAAATTCAATACAGTATATGTTTTTTTTTTTTTTTTTTTTTTCTGTGCTGCCCAAGGTGCTGAAATGCATGTTTTCGCTGTTTGTTGTTTTTCACAAAATGTTTTTATTATTATTATTATTATTATTATTATTATTATTATTGTGTGTGTGTGTGTGTGTGTGTGTGATGAAAACAGCAAGAATGATTATCTTCTAAAACTGGCATAATTTTTCACTGGCACGAGTCCAGATGTGTGTTATTTGTCTTTCTTACGAAGGCACAAGAGGTAGTTTAGGTTGTTGTGCTAAACATATGCATACATGCAATCTTTCATAAGTTGCCGTTTGTGATACTTAAGTATTTGGATTGTCTTTAACTCTTGCAGTATAGGACTTTTCCTATACTGCAGATTTGAGATGTAAAACAAAAACTTCCTGTCTCATTTCCTTAGAGATAAAACTTCTCTCCAACTTTTGCGCATGTAAGATAGTTATTTTACTGATGACGATGATGAATATTGACATGAGTTATACATTGGTTTAAACACAAGATGTCGCTAGAGACCAGGACAAATAATTTTAGTGACGTGTTAATATCCCCGCCCCCAGTGTCCATCCTTTTATAAACGTCATAATCAGGTTGTTCTTCTTTGTGAAAACAGCGAACAGACACCGTTGTACAAGTATCCGAAATAGATGAGGAACCAAATGGACATATGTTTTCTGAAAGAAAAGATACTCGACTCACATTTTGGATTATAACTTGATTTTCCCACAATGGCGGATCTAGAACAATGGTCTTATGTATGGACGCTCTGCTTCACTCTGCTTTGTCTATGGAGCGGTTCTGCTGCACAAATATCTTATTCTGTTTCAGAGGAAGTGGAGAAAGGGACCACGGTTGGAAATATAACTAAGGATTTAAAATTGAGTTTACAGCAGCTAGAAATAACTGGACTTCGCATCACCTCTGCTGGTGATAAGGATTATTTTGATATAAACAGGAAAAGTGGAATGCTTTTTGTCAACGAAAGAATAGACCGAGAAGAGCTTTGTCCCACTGCGGTAAAGTGCGTGTTGAATGTAGAGGCTATTGTAAATAATCCACATGGTTTACACAGAATTGAGGTACTTATTCTTGATATAAATGACAATGTTCCCAAATTCAAGCAAGAAATATATACATTAGACATGTCAGAGTTGTCATATGTGGGCGAAAAACATCCTTTACCAGTGGCACATGACGCAGATGAAGGCAGTAATTCAGTAAAGACATATAAATTAAGCCCCAACGAGTATTTCTCGTTGGATGTGCAGGATGCTGATGACAACAGTGTTACTGCTGAGCTTGTGTTGCAGAAACCACTGGATCGAGAAAAACAGTCTGTAATTGACCTCACTTTGTCGGCTATAGATGGGGCAAAACCAGCTAAAACAGGAACAGTAAGGCTCAAGGTTAATGTGTTAGATGTGAATGATAATTCGCCTGTATTTAGTAAAAACCTTTACAAAACCCAGGTTGTTGAAAACGCAGTTATGGGCACAGCCTTGATAACACTGACCGCTACGGATTTAGATGAAGGCGTTAATGCTCAACTTGTGTACTCGTTTGCAGAAAATGAGAGATTTAATCCCAATGATAAGTTCACTATAAACACAAATACAGGTGAGATTGCAGTAAAAGGTGATATTGATTATGAGGAAAACCAAGCGTATGAGATACGTGTTCAGGTTCGAGACAAAGGCGTGCCTCCGCGTCTTGCCCATGGGAAAGTTTTAGTGGAGGTTATAGATGTAAATGACAATGCTCCAGAAATTTCGGTGACTTCAGTGATGAGTCCTGTGAAGGAAGATGCTGAAATAGGCACGGCTGTCGCCATGATAACTATTACTGACAAAGATGGAGGAAAAAACGGGCTGACCGATTGTAAAATAGTCGGAACTGCTCCATTTAAGTTGAACCGTAACTATAAAAACTATTATTCCTTGTTAGTCGATGGTCCTCTGGATAGAGAGGCTGTGTCTGAGTATAACATAACAATTACAGCCGCAGACGAAGGGACGCCATCACTGTCCAGTGTCAGTGTGATTCAAGTGAAAGTTGCAGATGTTAATGACAACCCGCCACGCTTTCAGGAACCTGTGATCAATATTTATGTGAAAGAGAACAGTCAGATAGGCTCTCTCATTTACACGCTCACATCGTCAGATTTGGACTCAACTGAGAACGCTAAAATATCTTACAGTTTAATTTATAGGGAGAAAAAAAATATTCCCGCCTCATCACTTGTTAATATAAACTCAGACACCGGGGAGATAGTGAGTCTTCAGACTTTTAACTTTGAGGAGCTCAAAACGTTTCAGTTTAAGGTCCAGGCCACAGACTCTGGTGTCCCTCCGCTCAGCAGCAACGTGACTGTGAACGTTTTTATTCTGGATGAAAATGACAATAGCCCCTCGATCCTGGCGCCCTATTCTGAGCACGGCTCCGTTAACAGTGAGAGCATCCCCTATTCCGCTGAAGCGGGCTACTTTGTGGCAAAGATCAGGGCTGTAGACGCAGACTCTGGGTACAACGCGCTGCTTTCTTATCACCTGTCTGAGCCCAAAGGGAACAACCTGTTCCGGATCGGGACCAGCAGCGGAGAGATCCGCACCAAGAGGAGGATGAGTGACAATGACCTGAAAAGTCACCCCTTGGTGGTGCTGGTGTGTGATAACGGAGAGCCCTCCCTGTCCGCCACTGTGTCTATTGATGTAGTGGTGGTGGAGAGCACAGCGGACATTCAGACTCAGTTCAGACATGTGCCCATAAAGGAGGAGAGCTTCTCGGATTTAAACCTGTACCTGCTCATCGCCATTGTGGCGGTGTCAGTCATCTTTCTGCTCAGTCTCATCACGTTAATAGCAGTCAGATGTCACAGGACAGAGAGCTCTTTCAACAGGTACAGCGCCCCCATGATCACCACCCACCCTGACGGGAGCTGGTCCTACTCCAAATCCACTCAGCAGTATGACGTGTGCTTCAGCTCAGACACACTCAAGAGCGACGTAGTCGTTTTCCCCGCACCGTTTCCTCCTGTAGATGCAGAACTGATCAGTATTAACGGAGGAGACACTTTCACCAGGACACAGACTTTACCTAATACAGACAAGGTATGAAAGTTAGATGTACTTTGCTGGTAATGTTTCTTTTTTTCTTTTTTCTTTTCTTTTTTCTTTTTTATTTATGCACTGACTAGAGTGAACGGCAACGTGAGCTGTCCATGGTGTTGAAATGTGTGAGACTGTAGTTGATGGACAGTTGACGTTAATGCTGCGTAATCCGCTGAATGAAATGATTATTGTTATCATATTTTTGCGTTGAGGTAATGTAACTTCACATTCTGCTATTTTTTAATCGACATATATGTTTATTTCATAGAGACAAAAAAGTTGATTTGTATTTTTCTAAAAGTTTCATACAGCCACCTGCTTTTGAAACAGTGTCTTTTGCACCATCAGTAAGCCTTTATACCAGGCATGTCCAAACTATGGCCCGTGGGCCAAATGCGGCCCTCAGACAAATTTTTCTTGGCCCTCAGGCTTCCAGGTGAATTGGCCCAAATTACCTTGCATCAATTAAAAATTAACTTTTTACTGCAAGTTTTTTGAAAATCTACCTTGATAAAGCTAATATTTAATATTTAGTGTTATATTTTAAGGATTTTAGCATGAATAAAGACTAAGGTCTCATTCTAATGTGTTAAACATGCACATATTTCAATTATTCACTGTATTGAGCACCGGTCTACAGCCTTCGATCGGCCCTCTGCTTCGTTTGTGTTTAGATATGTGGCCCTTGATTAAAAAAAGTTTGGACACCCCTGATTTATACATTTCAGGGCTATTTATCTCTTGCAAGTTTTCATTAATATTTTGATCATGACCTCATGATCTGTAGTTGTCAGTTGTAGATTTAAATTGTCATAAGGTTATGAGTTATTATAAAGCACCACTTCTTTTTGGCCTACCTTCTTCATAGTCCAGCGATTAAAAAAAATAAAAATCTTGAAAGAGAGAGAGAGAGAGCGTTGGAGTTGCTACTTCTCCACCAACGCTGCTTTTGTGTGGTGGAACTGCAATCTGAACTAAAAGCCAATCAATTATTTTGAATAAGCCTAGTATATGCATTCCACCCTCCTCTTAACCGTGCCCTTTTTGTCCACATGATGTCGCAGTAGACCATATAACGCTCGTGCTTCCTGGCGCTCCTCCTTGAAATAGGAGTTATACGTCGCTCGTCAATTCATCACAAACGCAGTAGCTCCGCTTTAGTACGGACGAAGAAACGCACTGTGGATACGTGACACATTTTGGGCGAAATATCTTTTATATGAACAATGTTTTTTAAAAATACACTGGATTATCTTTGGGTTGTTGTGGTCTGGATGTGTCTTGCTGACAAGTCCGCAGCACAGCTCTCATACTCCGTTTCTGAAGAAGCGAACAAAGGGTTTGTGGTTGGAAACATCGTAAAGGATTTAAATCTGAATCTTCAGGACCTACACACGAGAGATGTGCGGATTGTTTCTACTTACAGTAAGACATATTTTGATGTAAATCGGCGGACTGGAGCTCTCTTTGTTAACGAGAGAATAGACAGAGAGGAGCTTTGCCCTTCTCTGGCCAAATGCTCTTTGAAAATACAGACTGTTTTAAACAATCCTTTGAATGTACAACGCATTGACATTTTAGTATTAGATATTAATGACAATTCACCAAGATTTACCGAAACCATACACGCAATAAATATATCTGAATCATCAATGCAAGGCGACCGATACCTCCTCCCAGTGGCTGAAGACGCAGACACAGGAAGCAATGCACTGAAAACATACACCCTCAGTCCAAATGAGTTTTTCTCACTGGACGTGCAGAGCGGAGGAGAATTCAGTAAAGACGTATAAATTAAGTCCGAACGAGTATTTCTCGTTAGATGTACATGGTGCTGATGGCAAAAGGGTTACTGCTGAGCTTGTGTTACAGAAAACACTGGATCGAGAAAAACAGTCTGTAATTGACCTCACTTTGTCGGCTATAGATGGGGCAAAACCAGCTAAAACTGGAACAGTACAGCTCAAGGTTAATGTGTTAGATGTGAATGATAATTCGCCTATATTTAGTAAAAATCTTTACAAAACCCAGGTTGTTGAAAACGCAGTTATGGGCACAGCCTTGATAACACTGACCGCTACGGATTTAGATGAAGGCGTTAATGCTCAAACTTGTGTACTCGTTTGCAGAAAAGGACCTGAACCCCGATGATGAATTCACTATAAACACAAATACAGGTGAGATTGCAGTAAAAGGTGATATTGATTATGAGGAAAACCAAGCGTATGAGATACGTGTTCAGGTTCGAGACAAAGGCGTGCCTCCGCGTCTTGCCCATGGGAAAGTTTTAGTGGAGGTTATAGATGTAAATGACAATGCTCCAGAAATTTCGGTGACTTCAGTGATGAGTCCTGTTGAAGGAAGATGCTGAAATAGGCACGGCTGTCGCCAATGATAACTATTACTGACAGAGATGGAGGAAAAAACGGGCTGACCGATTGTAAAATAGTCGGAACTGCTCCCATTTAAGTTGAACCGTAACTATAAAAACTATTATTCCTTGTTAGTCGATGGTCCTCTGGATAGAGAGAACTGTGTCTGAGTATAACATAACAATTACAGCCGCAGACGAAGGGACGCCATCACTGTCCAGTGTCAGTGTGATTCAAGTGAAAGTTGCAGATGTTAATGACAACCCGCCACGCTTTCAGGAACCTGTGATCAATATTTATGTGAAAGAGAACAGTCAGATAGGCTCTCTCATTTACACGCTCACGTCGTCAGATTTGGACTCAACTGAGAACGCTAAAATAGCTTACAGATTGTTAAATACTGATAAAAGCAAAATCCCAGCATCATCAATAGTGAATATAAACTCAGAGACAGGAGACATAGTGACGTTACAGACTTTTAACTTTGAGGAGCTCAAAACGTTTCAGTTTAAGGTCCAGGCCACAGACTCTGGTGTCCCTCCGCTCAGCAGCAACGTGACTGTGAACGTTTTTATTCTGGATGAAAATGACAATAGCCCCTCGATCCTGGCGCCCTATTCTGAGCACGGCTCCGTTAACAGTGAGAGCATCCCCTATTCCGCTGAAGCGGGCTACTTTGTGGCAAAGATCAGGGCTGTAGACGCAGACTCTGGGTACAACGCGCTGCTTTCTTATCACCTGTCTGAGCCCAAAGGGAACAACCTGTTCCGGATCGGGACCAGCAGCGGAGAGATCCGCACCAAGAGGAGGATGAGTGACAATGACCTGAAAAGTCACCCCTTGGTGGTGCTGGTGTGTGATAACGGAGAGCCCTCCCTGTCCGCCACTGTGTCTATTGATGTAGTGGTGGTGGAGAGCACAGCGGACATTCAGACTCAGTTCAGACATGTGCCCATAAAGGAGGAGAGCTTCTCGGATTTAAACCTGTACCTGCTCATCGCCATTGTGGCGGTGTCAGTCATCTTTCTGCTCAGTCTCATCACGTTAATAGCAGTCAGATGTCACAGGACAGAGAGCTCTTTCAACAGGTACAGCGCCCCCATGATCACCACCCACCCTGACGGGAGCTGGTCCTACTCCAAATCCACTCAGCAGTATGACGTGTGCTTCAGCTCAGACACACTCAAGAGCGACGTAGTGGTTTTCCCCGCACCGTTTCCTCCTGTAGATGCAGAACTGATCAGTATTAACGGAGGAGACACTTTCACCAGGACACAGACTTTACCTAATACAGACAAGGTATGCATCGCTTCATTATTGTTTTATTATTATAAATTTTGTCGGCTTACTAGAATATTATTAAACCTGTTGGGCTAAAAAATAATCACATTAAATAACATAAATAAATAATAAATAAATAAATAAATAAATAAAATTTAAAAAATAAATTCATTAATTAAAAACAAACAACAAAAAACTAGAAGTAATCACATGGACAAAACTTATAAAGTTGATATGTCATGACATATTTCAAACGCTGTTATTACAATCGTATCATCCATGGTTTAATTGTTTTGTCAATATAGATCCATTATTTAGTTCTGTGCTGTCCAAGGTACTGAAACTGAAATACTTAATTTCACAGTTTTTTCCTGAATTTTTCAAAAAATATAAGAAGGCCTACTTTTATATATTATATATATATAATATATATATATATATATATATATTATATTATATATATATATATATTATATATATTTTTTTTTTTTTAGAAAGAAGATACACACATTTTCTCTCAAACTTAAATATTTTTCCTGTTTTCTCTCCTTTCTGACCCCTCATGATGTAATGTCCAAATGTAAATCATACTCTTGATAATTATTAAGTCTTTTTTCCTAATATATAAATAATTGCATTGATACACTTCCCGTACACTTTGTCGTTATGAAAACAGTTAAACTCTGTTATTTGACAATCCAAGAAAGATAATCAACTAAAATTGGCATCATATTTCACTGACTTGAGACAGCATGAAAATGTCTATTGTGATTTTGTCTTTCCCACTGAGGCAGATGACTAAAATTTGGTGCTGTTTTCTACTAAAATAAGTGCACTATATGTAAATGTACTCTTTCTTTGTGTGCTCTCCAAAGTGCTGAAATACTTGTGTTTTAGTGCAAGTGATTTTTCATTTCCTCTCGACATTAAAATAAATCGACAATAAAAATATACCTCTTAAGACGCAAACCTGTTCTATGTCTCTAGAGGTAAGTATGACTTTTTATTCTTCCACAGGGGCTTCCACTGCGATGTGCACTGTTCAGGCATATCTACAAACAATCTTCTTATTTCCTAAATGGTAAAACTTCTCACACTATTCGGACCACTCAGTTATTTCACTAATTATGATTTTGATGAAAAGAGAAATTAGTTATTCATTGGTTTGAACACAAGATGTCGCTAGAGACCAGGACAAATCATTTCAGTGACGTGTTAATATCCCCGCCCCCAGTGTCCATCCTTTTCTTAAACGTCATAATCAGGTTGTTCTTCTTTGTGAAAACAGCGAACAGACACCGTTGTACAAGTATCCAAAATAGATGGTGAACTAAATGGACATATGTTTTCGGAAAGGAATGATACTGGACTCACATTTTGGATTATAACTTGATTTTCCCACAATGGCGGATCTAGAACAATGGTCTTATGTATGGACGCTCTGCTTCACTCTGCTTTGTCTATGGAGCGGTTCTGCTGCACAAATATCTTATTCTGTTTCAGAGGAAGTGGAGAAAGGGACCACGGTTGGAAATATAACTAAGGATTTAAAATTGAGTTTACAGCAACTAGAAATAACGGGACTTCGCATCACCTCTGCTGGTGATAAGGATTATTTTGATATAAACAGGAAAAGTGGAATGCTTTTTGTCAATGAAAGAATAGACCGAGAAGAGCTTTGTCCCACTGCGGTAAAGTGCGTGTTGAATGTAGAGGCTATTGTAAATAATCCACATGGTTTACACAGAATTGAGGTACTTATTCTCGATATTAATGACAATATCCCCAAATTCAAGCAAGACGTATATACAATAGACTTTTATGAATCCTCCTATGTGGGCGAAAAACGTCCTTTACCAGTGGCACATGACGCAGATGAAGGCAGTAATTCAGTAAAGACATATAAATTAAGCCCAAACGAGTATTTCTCTTTGGATGTACAGGATGCTGGTGACAACAGTGTTACTGCTGAGCTTGTGTTACAGAAAACACTGGATCGAGAAAAACAGTCTGTAATTGACCTCACTTTGTCGGCTATAGATGGGGCAAAACCAGCTAAAACTGGAACAGTACAGCTCAAGATTATTGTGTTAGATGTGAATGATAACTCGCCTGTATTTAGTAAAAATCTTTACAAAACCCAGGTTGTTGAAAACGCAGTTATGGGCACAGCCTTGATAACACTGACCGCTACGGATTTAGACGAAGGCGTTAATGCTCAGCTTGTGTACGCGTTTGCAGAAAGTGGGCGTTATAACCCTGATGAGAAGTTCACTATAAACACAAATACAGGTGAGATTGCAGTAAAAGGTGATATTGATTATGAGGAAAACCAAGCGTATGAGATACGTGTTCAGGTTCGAGACAAAGGCGTGCCTCCGCGTCTTGCCCATGGGAAAGTTTTAGTGGAGGTTATAGATGTAAATGACAATGCTCCAGAAATTTCGGTGACTTCAGTGATGAGTCCTGTGAAGGAAGATGCTGAAATAGGCACGGCTGTCGCCATGATAACTATTACTGACAGAGATGGAGGAAAAAACGGGCTGACCGATTGTAAAATAGTCGGAACTGCTCCATTTAAGTTGAACCGTAACTATAAAAACTATTATTCCTTGTTAGTCGATGGTCCTCTGGATAGAGAGGCTGTGTCTGAGTATAACATAACAATTACAGCCGCAGACGAAGGGACGCCATCACTGTCCAGTGTCAGTGTGATTCAAGTGAAAGTTGCAGATGTTAATGACAACCCGCCACGCTTTCAGGAACCTGTGATCAATATTTATGTGAAAGAGAACAGTCAGATAGGCTCTCTCATTTACACGCTCACGTCGTCAGATTTGGACTCAACTGAGAACGCTAAAATATCTTACAGATTGTTAAATACTGATAAAAGCAAAATTTCAGCATCATCAATCGTAAACATTAACTCAGACAACGGGGAGATAGTGACGTTACAATCCTTTAACTTTGAGGAGCTCAAAACGTTTCAGTTTAAGGTCCAGGCCACAGACTCTGGTGTCCCTCCGCTCAGCAGCAACGTGACTGTGAACGTTTTTATTCTGGATGAAAATGACAATAGCCCCTCGATCCTGGCGCCCTATTCTGAGCACGGCTCCGTTAACAGTGAGAGCATCCCCTATTCCGCTGAAGCGGGCTACTTTGTGGCAAAGATCAGGGCTGTAGACGCAGACTCTGGGTACAACGCGCTGCTTTCTTATCACCTGTCTGAGCCCAAAGGGAACAACCTGTTCCGGATCGGGACCAGCAGCGGAGAGATCCGCACCAAGAGGAGGATGAGTGACAATGACCTGAAAAGTCACCCCTTGGTGGTGCTGGTGTGTGATAACGGAGAGCCCTCCCTGTCCGCCACTGTGTCTATTGATGTAGTGGTGGTGGAGAGCACAGCGGACATTCAGACTCAGTTCAGACATGTGCCCATAAAGGAGGAGAGCTTCTCGGATTTAAACCTGTACCTGCTCATCGCCATTGTGGCGGTGTCAGTCATCTTTCTGCTCAGTCTCATCACGTTAATAGCAGTCAGATGTCACAGGACAGAGAGCTCTTTCAACAGGTACAGCGCCCCCATGATCACCACCCACCCTGACGGGAGCTGGTCCTACTCCAAATCCACTCAGCAGTATGACGTGTGCTTCAGCTCAGACACACTCAAGAGCGACGTAGTCGTTTTCCCCGCACCGTTTCCTCCTGTAGATGCAGAACTGATCAGTATTAACGGAGGAGACACTTTCACCAGGACACAGACTTTACCTAATACAGATAAGGTATGGCTGGCTTGTCTATTGTTTTTCAAAGTTTCAGTTTTTTACATTATTATTAGCTCACTTGGGGTGACATAAGACGTAGAAATCATCATACAAACAATCGTCCAATAAAGGGATAAGTTGTGCTTACCTCGTATGTTGGCGAAAAACATCCTTTACCAGTGGCACATGACGCAGATGAAGGCAGTAATTCTGTAAAGACATATAAATTAAGCCCAAACGAGTATTTCTCGTTGGATGTATAAGTTGTGCTTACAACTTAGAAGCATTTGTTACAACTGTTCGTAAATTGTTAACAATAACATAATGCTGTCTTAATATAAATGCCCATGTTATAATGGCTTTTCTTACTTCCTTGCTGTCCAAGGTGCTGAATAACATGTTGTGAATATATTCTGTTGTTACACTATTACTTTGATAAACTTTAGAATTAGGCATACCTGGCCATGTCATCAAGGATAAGAACTAATAATAAAGTTGACCTTTACTCCCCTCTCCTGAAGCCATTTTGCTGTTCTTTGTTGGGAAAAAGAGTGTTCGGACACCGTTGCTTTACACTTCATGGAAGATGTTCTTCTAGAACGTACAGTATTTTTCACTTACATGAGTCAAAATGCAAAACGTAGCTTGTGACTGTATACTGCAGTCAGGCAATCAAAAGTTCTGTTTGTGTTAAAATATATCCGCTATATTTAAATGCGTGTATTTGTTATGTGCTTTACAAGGTGCTGAAATATTCCTGTTCAGATGTGTTTGATTTTTCATAAACGTGTCGACACTAAGCCGATATACCGTTTGATACATAAAACAATAGTGATTTTCTTTATGTGCATAAAGATGCATTTCCATTGTCCTTCTTTTTTAGATTTTCCAATCATGTGTACTTTCCAAATGTATGCAATAAAACCTCAATGAACATTTATAGTTACTTTATCAGCGGTAAAGTATAAGCCAGTCACAATATTTCGAAAATTAACTTTTTCAACTGATAATTTGTTCGATATTCAGATTCGTTCTACTTTGATTCGAACACACGATGTCGCTAGAGACCAGGACAAATAATTTCAGTGACGTGTTAATATCCCCGCCCCCAGTGTCCATCCTTTTCTTAAACGTCATAATCAGGTTGTTCTTCTTTGTGAAAACAGCGAACAGACACCGTGTGGCAAGTTTAAGATATATGGGGAAATAGAAGGACATATGTTTTCTGAAAGAAAAGATACTCGACTCACATTTTGGATTATAACTTGATTTTCCCACAATGGCGGATCTAGAACAATGGTCTTATGTATGGACGCTCTGCTTCACTCTGCTTTGTCTATGGAGCGGTTCTGCTGCACAAATATCTTATTCTGTTTCAGAGGAAGTGGAGAAAGGGACCACAGTTGGAAATATAACTAAGGATTTAAAATTGAGTTTACAGCAACTAGAAATAACGGGACTTCGCATCACCTCTGCTGGTGATAAGGATTATTTTGATATAAACAGGAAAAGTGGAATGCTTTTTGTCAACGAAAGAATAGACCGAGAAGAGCTTTGTCCCACTGCGGTAAAGTGCGTGTTGAATGTAGAGGCTATTGTAAATAATCCACATGGTTTACACAGAATTGATGTACTTATTCTCGATATTAATGACGATGTACCCAAGTTCAAACAAGAAATATTTACAATTGACATGACCGAATCCTCGCATGTGGGGGAAAAGCATCTTTTACCAGTGGCACATGACGCAGATGAAGGCAGTAATTCTGTAAAGACATATAAATTAAGCCCAAACGAGTATTTCTCTTTGGACGTGCAGGATGCTGATGACAACAGTGTTACTGCTGAGCTTGTGTTGCAGAAAACACTGGATCGAGAAAAACAGTCTGTAATTGACCTCACTTTGTCGGCTATAGATGGGGCAAAACCAGCTAAAACAGGAACAATACAGTTAAAGGTTAATGTTTTTGATGTGAATGATAATTCGCCTGTATTTAGTAAAAATCTTTACAAAGCCCAGGTTGTTGAAAACGCAGTTATGGGCACAGCCTTGATAACACTGACCGCTACGGATTTAGATGAAGGCGTTAATGCTCAACTTGTGTACTCGTTTGCAGAAAGTGGTCGATTTAACCCCAATGATAAATTCACTATAAACACAAATACAGGTGAGATTGCAGTAAAAGGTGATATTGATTATGAGGAAAACCAAGCGTATGAGATACGTGTTCAGGTTCGAGACAAAGGCGTGCCTCCGCGTCTTGCCCATGGGAAAGTTTTAGTGGAGGTTATAGATGTAAATGACAATGCTCCAGAAATTTCGGTGACTTCAGTGATGAGTCCTGTGAAGGAAGATGCTGAAATAGGCACGGCTGTCGCCATGATAACTATTACTGACAGAGATGGAGGAAAAAACGGGCTGACCGATTGTAAAATAGTCGGAACTGCTCCATTTAAGTTGAACCGTAACTATAAAAACTATTATTCCTTGTTAGTCGATGGTCCTCTGGATAGAGAGGCTGTGTCTGAGTATAACATAACAATTACAGCCGCAGACGAAGGGACGCCATCACTGTCCAGTGTCAGTGTGATTCAAGTGAAAGTTGCAGATGTTAATGACAACCCGCCACGCTTTCAGGAACCTGTGATCAATATTTATGTGAAAGAGAACAGTCAGATAGGCTCTCTCATTTACACGCTCACGTCGTCAGATTTGGACTCAACTGAGAACGCTAAAATATCTTACAGTTTATTTTATAGGGAGAAAAATAATATTCCCGCCTCATCACTTGTTAACATTAACTCAGACACCGGGGAGATAGTGAGTCTTCAGACTTTTAACTTTGAGGAGCTCAAAACGTTTCAGTTTAAGGTCCAGGCCACAGACTCTGGTGTCCCTCCGCTCAGCAGCAACGTGACTGTGAACGTTTTTATTCTGGATGAAAATGACAATAGCCCCTCGATCCTGGCGCCCTATTCTGAGCACGGCTCCGTTAACAGTGAGAGCATCCCCTATTCCGCTGAAGCGGGCTACTTTGTGGCAAAGATCAGGGCTGTAGACGCAGACTCTGGGTACAACGCGCTGCTTTCTTATCACCTGTCTGAGCCCAAAGGGAACAACCTGTTCCGGATCGGGACCAGCAGCGGAGAGATCCGCACCAAGAGGAGGATGAGTGACAATGACCTGAAAAGTCACCCCTTGGTGGTGCTGGTGTGTGATAACGGAGAGCCCTCCCTGTCCGCCACTGTGTCTATTGATGTAGTGGTGGTGGAGAGCACAGCGGACATTCAGACTCAGTTCAGACATGTGCCCATAAAGGAGGAGAGCTTCTCGGATTTAAACCTGTACCTGCTCATCGCCATTGTGGCGGTGTCAGTCATCTTTCTGCTCAGTCTCATCACGTTAATAGCAGTCAGATGTCACAGGACAGAGAGCTCTTTCAACAGGTACAGCGCGCCCCATGATCACCACCCACCCTGACGGGAGCTGGTCCTACTCCAAATCCACTCAGCAGTATGACGTGTGCTTCAGCTCAGACACACTCAAGAGCGACGTAGTCGTTTTCCCCGCACCGTTTCCTCCTGTAGATGCAGAACTGATCAGTATTAACGGAGGAGACACTTTCACCAGGACACAGACTTTACCTAATACAGACAAGGTATTTGACTATCATAATCTGAAATGATATATCAAAAATAATAATATATATATATATATATATTTTTAATTATTATTTAGTTTTAAAATAACAAAGTATATGCAAATCACACTGCATTTTGCCAAGAAACTTAGAGCTGTCGAAAGTTTCCAACACGTTTTTTTGGGGCCTACTATTTGAACGAAGTGAAATGTTTAAATTACATAGTTAAATAGTTCCCCAATTCCGTGTGCATTTAACTCACATAAGGTCATATTATGCCGCTGTGTTCATAAGCATCAAAAACTGTTATTGTATTAGTGTTGTGATTCTGCAGTTTTTGTGTTTATAGACGTGTTTATAGTTGTGTTTATATTTTGCACTTTCAAAATAGGACTGGCTCATATTAAACGTATGTTACTATGTAGTTTATGCCTTATTACTTTCCTGCATGTCCACGTATTTAAATGCAATGTGTGCGCTCTCCGTGGTTCTGAAGTGTACAGTGTGACATAATGTGCTTCTTCAGTGTTCTGCGCATGCTTCTTTACAGATAAGAATGTTTGGAAAGTTTGTTTTTGTAGATAATATTTTGTGTAGATTTATTCATACTATCCAGTAGGTGGCGCACGAGACCGAAATCTTTCTTGTATTATTTTCTTAGAGGCTCCACCCCAAGCCCAGCACTCATTCGGGATGAAAGAGCACAGGGGTTTACTGGCAATGACGAAGCGTTTACCTGGGACGTGTTTTGTGGATATTTTACTCATCTTTTCGTTACAGTGATGGGGTCCGGTGTATCTGCAGCGGCCACTTGGATATTTCATTTCGCACTGTTTTGTTTTTACGGTTGTGCCCGCTCGCAGCTGTCCTACACAGTTGCTGAGGAGGCGGACAAAGGGACGGTGGTGGGGAATCTTGCAAAGGATTTAAATCTCAATGTCAATATTCTGGGAAAACGAGAGCTAAGGATTTTGTCTGATAATATGAAGAAATATTTTGACGCGGATTTAAAAACTGGAGAGTTGTTTGTTTGCGACAGAATTGATCGTGAAGAGCTTTGTCCACGCATGGAAAAATGCACGCTCCATATAGAAGCCATACTGAGCAATCCGACACAGCTGCATCGTCTAGAGCTCCACGTTGCTGACATAAATGACAATGCGCCTTTCTTCCGCGAGAAAATATATGTTTTAAATATTTCGGAATCTTCTTCAACGGGAGAGAGGTATTTACTCCCGGTGGCAAATGACCCAGACCGGGGCATTAATTCCATCAAAAACTATAGGTTAAGTGCAAATGATTATTTCTCTTTAGATGGAGGACAACAAAGTGAGTCTGCAGAACTTGTGCTACAAAAGCCTTTAGACAGGGAGAAAGTGTCTACCATTCGTCTTACACTGACTGCGTTTGACGGAGGGAAACCTTCTCTGTCAGGGTCATTAGACATAGTAATACATGTCATAGACATTAACGACAATGTTCCCATATTTAGTCAACCTTTATATAAAGCGCAGATCGTTGAAAACTCGCAACTCCATACATCTGTGCTGACGGTGACTGCTACAGATTTAGATGAAGGAAGGAACAGTGAGGTCTCGTATTCATTTATAGAGAGGGGGGACTTCAACCCCTCGTCTTTGTTCTTAATTAACCCTGAAACTGGACTGATTACAGTACAAGGAAACATAGACTATGAAAAAAACACCGCGTTTGATATTCGTGTGCAAGCCACGGATAAAGGCTCGCCCCCCAAAAGTGTGCACGGTAAAGTGCTGATAGAAGTGATTGATGTTAATGACAATGTACCAGAGATTATAGTGACTTCCCTTTTAAATCCAGTGAAAGAGGACGCCGAGGCGGGGACAGTGGTAGCATTAGTTACGGTTTCAGACAAAGATGGAGGTAAAAATGGAATCACTGATGCTTCAATCCTAGGTTCAGTGCCCTTTAAACTAAAAGTAAATTATAAGAGTTATTATTCTTTGGTTGTGGATGGGGAACTGGACAGAGAAAGACTTTCTCACTACAATGTTACAATTGTTACCAATGATGAGGGCTCACCCCCTTTATCCAGTAGCACCCTAATATCTATATATATTTCTGATGTGAATGACAATGCCCCCCACTTTTCAAACCCTGTCCTTGGAGCATATGTTAAAGAAAATGCTCCAATAGGAACAATGATCTTCACTCTTAGTGCTTCAGATCTTGATAAAGATGAAAATGCAAAATTGACATATTCATTATTTAAAAATGCTCATGTATCATATGTAAGCATCAACTCAGAGACAGGAGACATAGTGACGCTGCAGTCCTTTAACTTTGAGGAGCTCAAAACGTTTCAGTTTAAGGTCCAGGCCACAGACTCTGGTGTCCCTCCGCTCAGCAGCAACGTGACTGTGAACGTTTTTATTCTGGATGAAAATGACAATAGCCCCTCGATCCTGGCGCCCTATTCTGAGCACGGCTCCGTTAACAGTGAGAGCATCCCCTATTCCGCTGAAGCGGGCTACTTTGTGGCAAAGATCAGGGCTGTAGACGCAGACTCTGGGTACAACGCGCTGCTTTCTTATCACCTGTCTGAGCCCAAAGGGAACAACCTGTTCCGGATCGGGACCAGCAGCGGAGAGATCCGCACCAAGAGGAGGATGAGTGACAATGACCTGAAAAGTCACCCCTTGGTGGTGCTGGTGTGTGATAACGGAGAGCCCTCCCTGTCCGCCACTGTGTCTATTGATGTAGTGGTGGTGGAGAGCACAGCGGACATTCAGACTCAGTTCAGACATGTGCCCATAAAGGAGGAGAGCTTCTCGGATTTAAACCTGTACCTGCTCATCGCCATTGTGGCGGTGTCAGTCATCTTTCTGCTCAGTCTCATCACGTTAATAGCAGTCAGATGTCACAGGACAGAGAGCTCTTTCAACAGGTACAGCGCCCCCATGATCACCACCCACCCTGACGGGAGCTGGTCCTACTCCAAATCCACTCAGCAGTATGACGTGTGCTTCAGCTCAGACACACTCAAGAGCGACGTAGTGGTTTTCCCCGCACCGTTTCCTCCTGTAGATGCAGAACTGATCAGTATTAACGGAGGAGACACTTTCACCAGGACACAGACTTTACCTAATACAGACAAGGTATGGCTTGACATTGGTTTTAAGATGAAAAATGCAATGTGTGTTTTCCTGGCTAACAACACTGCAAAGGACGCATCGATGTTTTGTTTTGTTTTTCTTCTGTAGCGCTTTACTAATATCTGTCCAAATTACGGTGCTGTCACTGCCGTCTCCCATTCACCAATTGACGTATACCAAAAAGGTATAAATACAATCCACTTATAGCGCAAAATGTAGGTTATTAATTACTCAATAATGTGTTAATCTAGGCCTGAATTGCCAATGTAAATATAATTAGCCTGGCCTATATGATTTTTCCTAATAACATGATTATTTTGTGATATGACCACAAGATGTCGCCACGCACCCACAGTGAGAAAGCAAAATACTATTTTTTTTTTTCGTCTGTGAGGCTCCTCCTACAAAACTGTTCTGTCGCTGCATTTGCACTTCATTGTTCGTATGATGTGGAGCATTCGATGAGACTCGCGCAGCATAACTTGCCATAATGCTTTTATACGTTCTTGTTTAATGGGATGCAGATAGTCGGAAGGATGATCAAGGATTTCCTTTTGCGTTCTTGGATATCATGTTTTGTTCACGTTTTGCACATCTACGGAGTTATGGCAGAAATGACAGTTTACTCTGTTACGGAGGAGTCAGACCCGGGAACAACTGTCGGAAATTTGGCGAAAGATTTTCATCTGAATGTTCACGAACTGAAGACCCGGGGTTTTCAGATTTCAGGAAAATTTGACAAGTATTTTGAAATTAATGCAAAATCGGGAATTCTTTTTGTGAAGGATAGAATAGACCGAGAGGAGCTCTGTGTTCGAACTGTCACGTGTGCTCTTGAAGTGGAGGCTATTGTCCGTTCCCCTCTCAACCACTACCGCTTCGTGGTTAATGTTGTGGATATTAATGACAATGCACCAGTCTTTCGGATTCCGGGAATAGTTTTGAATATATCAGAATCGGCCATCGTTGGTGAGAGGTTTCCACTTGCAAAAGCAATTGATGCGGACGTAGGTGGTTACTCTGTTAAAGGCTACAGGCTAAGTCAAAACGAACATTTCTCCTTGGATGTGCAGGATGAAGGCGCGGAGACGGTGTCTGCTGAACTGGTGCTACAGAAACCATTAGACCGCGAAAAACAGGCGGTGATTAAACTTACTCTTATTGCTTTTGATGGTGGGAAACCAGAGAAGACAGGCACTTTACGGATTACCATCAACGTACAAGATGTTAATGATAACATTCCTATTTTTGAAAGATCACTGTATAAAGGCACAATACCAGAAAATAGTCGGAAAGGGGAAAGCGTAATTTCAGTTCATGCCCGTGATCTTGATGAGGGTCTTAATGGTGAGATACAATACTCCTTCATTATTCACGGCAGTGACAACGAAGTCAACCTGTTTGCACTTGATCCTACAACAGGAGTGATTTCTGTAAATGGGGAATTAGATCACGAAAAAAACAAGGCAATTGAAATTCGAGTTGAAGCGAAAGACAAAGGTTTGAGTCCCAGAGCGTCCAGCTGCAAAGTGCTCATTGAAATTACAGATAAAAATGATAATGCACCTGAAATATCAGTAACGTCCCTCACCAGTGTGGTAAGAGAAGACGCACCTCTTGAAACGGTCATTGGACTAATTACCGTCAAAGACAATGACTCAGATAAAAACGGAATTGTTACAGTTGCACTATCTGGCAACACTCCTTTTGCAATCAAGAACACATACAAAAACCATTATTCTTTACTTTTAATGGGTTCTTTAGACAGGGAAAATGTGTCATCATATAATGTTACAATAACAGCTATAGACCAAGGGACCCCGTCTCTTTCAAGCACCATTATAATTGTTGTTTATGTTTCTGATGTCAATGATAATGCACCTACTTTTAAAGAGCCTATTTTAAATGTTTTTGTCAAAGAAAACAGTCCTGTAGGTGCCGTTCTACATACAGTCACAGCAAATGATCCAGATGTGGATGAAAATGCCAGAGTAACATTTTCTGTTTTAAACAACAATAACAAAAACAGTGTTGTACAGGCAACTGTCAGTGTCAACTCAGAGACAGGAGACATAGTGAGTCTTCAGTCTTTTAACTTTGAGGAGCTCAAAACGTTTCAGTTTAAGGTGCAGGCCACAGACTCTGGTGTCCCTCCGCTCAGCAGCAATGTGACTGTGAACGTTTTTATTCTGGATGAAAATGACAATAGCCCCTCGATCCTGGCGCCCTATTCTGAGCACGGCTCCGTTAACAGTGAGAGCATCCCCTATTCCGCTGAAGCGGGCTACTTTGTGGCAAAGATCAGGGCTGTAGACGCAGACTCTGGGTACAACGCGCTGCTTTCTTATCACCTGTCTGAGCCCAAAGGGAACAACCTGTTCCGGATCGGGACCAGCAGCGGAGAGATCCGCACCAAGAGGAGGATGAGTGACAATGACCTGAAAAGTCACCCCTTGGTGGTGCTGGTGTGTGATAACGGAGAGCCCTCCCTGTCCGCCACTGTGTCTATTGATGTAGTGGTGGTGGAGAGCACAGCGGACATTCAGACTCAGTTCAGACATGTGCCCATAAAGGAGGAGAGCTTCTCGGATTTAAACCTGTACCTGCTCATCGCCATTGTGGCGGTGTCAGTCATCTTTCTGCTCAGTCTCATCACGTTAATAGCAGTCAGATGTCACAGGACAGAGAGCTCTTTCAACAGGTACAGCGCCCCCATGATCACCACCCACCCTGACGGGAGCTGGTCCTACTCCAAATCCACTCAGCAGTATGACGTGTGCTTCAGCTCAGACACACTCAAGAGCGACGTAGTGGTTTTCCCCGCACCGTTTCCTCCTGTAGATGCAGAACTGATCAGTATTAACGGAGGAGACACTTTCACCAGGACACAGACTTTACCTAATACAGACAAGGTATAATGTTATCTCACTAACAAATGCATAATTTCTATTAGTTTCTGTTCACAGAAAACTTTAAAACATTTCTAATATGTCCACTAACTTATTTAAGTGCTGGTGCTGTCCATGGTGCTGAAGGCCATAAACATCCTGCTTGTCTGCCTTGTTTGATACAACCAGAGAATAATTGTTATCATTAGATAATCCATTAAAGCTCATATAATTGCAGTTAGACATGATATTTTGTCTTGTTGATGTGCTGTTTTTCAGTTTTGGTTTTTGCCATTGTTAGATTTGGTTAAATGACTTTTTCATGAAGGCCTACTCATGTATGAGGACATTTAGACATTGTTTTAAATTGGATCTTCAACAGTATAATAATAATAATAATAATAATAATAATAATAATAATAATAGTATTTGATTTTACATTTTTATCCTACTTATTTCTTGCAATTGGTGCTGTGAGCTTGTGACAATAGGACAATTTAACCAATTTTTGTGCGTTATCAGTGGAGCAGTAACGGTAGTGTTTCAGGGTAATCTCTGTACATTATTCAGCTAAGTCACAAATTATGAAGAAATATTAGTCAAACTTTAATTCATTTAAAACATGAGGATATTGCTGTTAATTTAATGGGAAGGTGTTTCCATGATGATGATATTCCTTTTAGTTTAATGCTCCACATTATGGCATTAAACATTTCATGCATTAAATTCCATAAAAAAAATAAAAAAAAAATTAATAAAAAAGAAAGTTGGTCAAAAAATAGCTTAAAAACATGCATTCTTATAGTGAAATAAATGGTATATTCTAACACATTCCAGGGAAACCAATATCATTTCCATGGAGACAAGTAGGTACTGTAGCTTCCACCTGAAAAACAAACCATTAACCTTTAATAATAATAATAATAACAAGCATTGTCATCATAAGCATCATAATCATAATAATGATAATTGTTGTAGCAGTAGTAGTAGTAGTAGTAGTAGTAGTTGTTGTTTAGTTGCTGTTTTTGTTGTTAGTTTGTTGTGCTAGGTATTGATGCCTATTCTGTATTGAGTTGCCTAGATGCTGTCTTTTCCTGTTCCCTCGCCCTTCATGGAGTGTTTGTCCCCTCCCCCTCCTCTGCAGCTCTCCTGATAGCAGGGAGCAGCTGAGAGAACTGATTAAGGTGCATTTCCTTCAAACATGTCCTCTTGGCTTCAGGGTGCTGTTAACATGGCATCATATGATTTAATTTTACAGCACATCTGTTCACCCACATTTAGATGAAGAGATTCTGCTTTGGTCATTAGTTGAATGATCAGCCCACTGGTTAATTTGGGTTTCTTATATGTTGTAAAATATAAGCTTAAGCATGCATTTAATTTGATGAATAATCCACTAAAATTGTGATGTCATATCATATCATCATCATGTCTTTTGGTGTAAGTTGACATAAGTTATACTACTAAGGAATAAGCAAGCTGACAAAGCACTGAACAGCAGATTTTAGGGAACGGTCTGACTGTAGACAGAGAGTGGGTTCAGCTCAATTTGTATATTATTGTTTCCTGTGAATCAGCACAAAATTGTTTAGACATTTTACTTTCTATCCACCACAGAGAAAAGCCTGGTTGTAGTTCAGTAGTCTATGTAGGTCAGTATGGGATTTAATGGTGGCCACACGAGGTACATGCGCCACGTGTGTGATGGTGGCGAGGACTGCATGCTGTTATTCTCCCATTGACTTGTGCTTCCTATGAGCTATGAGCGTTAACTTTGTAAACCAAAATCAAAAACTAGCAGTGAAATTTTAACAGGTTTTGTATATTGCTTCAGCTCAGTGCAAACGTGACTGGGAGGGGGAGGGGCAGGTAATTTTCCACTAGTCTGCAGCAGTAGCAGCAGCAGCAGAGAGCTTTTCTCCGTCCATTCCAGTTTTCTCTGCAGTGAACCCATGGCACAGCTTGTGTTTTCAGTTTTGAGAATGACGGGAAAGGGCGTGCCTATTGTGCGAGTTGTGCCAGTTCTTTCTGTGGTTACCATGGAGACTGTTATGAGCAGACATCAATTGCTGAACTGGTTTTCACAACACACAGTCAAATAGAGAACACACACAAGGTGGGTGTGCTAGCTGGTGGACGTACACTCTGACCTCTATAATCACAAATGATAAGAACAGATTTGATGACAGACAATGATGGTATTTCACACACATGGGATATTTATGGGCTAATTCTCAATAGTTTGGTGTTGTGATGAAATGTTTGTGTAGAGTGTAGCCTAAACATCATTGCAGCTGCATGGAAATATCACAGGATTACAATTGGTCACACATAAGAAGAAAATTTATCAACAGGCGACAATGCCCTTTCCCTGCTCACATCCCTGATCTCCTGGGACGTTGCTCCACAGGCTCGATTATAGCTTTGTCATGCTTGAAAACAGGGCAGAAATTCCTCCTTCTGCCAAGTATTTAAATCCTCAGCATCCTCAGAGGCAAGTACTCCAAACTAGCCTGCATTCTCTGATAGCTTTGTCACCAGAGTTTATGTAGCCTAATGTATGCATGGGCCCAAACCGGAAGCACAAAGAAGTCTGTAACCCCTGGAGCTTGTAAAGAGGGCTGGATTTAGCTGGATTTGAACGAGCTACCATCCCGAGAGTGAAACACGAAGAATATCCTATTGAGTGAATTTTGTTTTCAAGGACTTTCATTTAGTATGTCTTGTCTTCGTGTTAGGCCATTGAAATTAAGGGAAGGTGTTTTTGCATTTTTTGTTGATCAAGAGATACATCAAACTGTATACCATGCTTGCTCCGTGGTCATCTCTTTAGCTCTCTTCGTCTCTTTTGTGGCAGGGATTCTGAGTGCATTGGCTTAATGATTTAGTTGCAGGTGGGCGGTGGTTTGTTGACGTGTCCATCTCTTTATGCACTATAGTGATGAATTTAGTTGCTTATCCACTTCTTTTTATCAGTCTATCCAAATATGAATCTTTATGAAAATGGACTGGGACTGTTTTTTTTTTTTTTTCATTATGACTACTATTACAGCTATTTTCTTTATTATTATTATTATTATTATTATTATTATTATTATTGCTCATTCTTTGAAATTTCTTTACCCTGCAGAGGTAAATGTTAAGTTCTTAAAGTTGACATTTTCATAACCTCAAACATTCAATTTCACAGATGTTTCAGTGACTTTTTTTTTTTTTTTTATTTTTTTACTGCTTTAATCAGAAAAAATACATCAAAACATATTTATGAATTCATTTTAGCATGCACATTCTACATTTTAAGTATATGATAAGAAAAACTGAGATACTATGTAACTGAAAGGTGCATTGCGTAGGTGGAGGGTTGGTCATTTGCTTGTCTCCATGGGGATGTTATTACTTTGCCTGGTTGTTGCATGGTATGGCATTTAACACATCTATCTAGCATTTATTCATTATGGGTGTTTTTATTGCTCAGAAATACAGTAATTTTCTCCACAGAGTTGCATCTCCACACATCTGACTTATAATACAGTCTCTGGTTGTCTCCGTTGAGATAGATTGGATCTGTACTGTGGAACATTCTAGCCAAAGCAATAACATCTCCATGAAGACAAGCAGTTGAGAGACCTTTCACCGGAAGTGTTGCGTAATGAACATTTAAGTAAAAAAGTTTGAAGTGAAATGACATAAATCCGGTGTGTGTATTTAGCATCTCACTGTCTTTACCATCCCCCAGTATTGTAAATGCTGTTAATATCATGGATTGTGTGGGGAAGGTATGATGTGTGTTATGAACTGACAATAGTGAACCCCTAATCTCTGTACTCACACAATCTAATCCAAATATGTATTTATATATGTTTATCCTTTGTTTTTTCTGCACCTTGATTGAAATGTGAATCAGTCCAGCTGAAGTTTCTACATGAGTTGTACAGGAGAAAAGCTCAAGAGAATGGCATTTCCTTTCTAAATCAGTGTAGGTTTACATTGGATATATTGTTACTCCTCCTTCCTTCTCTGTCTTTGTAGCTATTGCACAGGAAAGTCAAACTGGACTAAAACCTGACTGCATTACAGCTCATTGTAATCAAATCATACTCTGTAAAAAAAAAAAAAAAAAAACACAGGTGATTGAAGGTGTCATTTTCTGCAGTTTGTCCTTATGCAAAGGCAGTATGGGAACATAGTGTAACCAGCTTGATAACAATATAATTATGTGTTTGTGTCAACTTAATTTTGAATAGGATTTCACACTGCCCTTTCCCCAGTTGTCACTTTGTCAGACTCACCCTCTGGTAGATTTAAAAACATTGTATCATCTGCTTTTATATTCATTCAAGAGACATATTATCTTGGCATTAGTGCATACATCTTGGCTCCCTGTCTTAAGTTCATTATGTCATTAACAAGGCTGGATAAAGCTGGTAAGTGCGGTGGTGATGGTAATTTGTGAAATGATATACTGTATATTTGTTGTACTGTATATTTACAAGTGTGAATTAACAGGTTCAGCAGCTCTCCCTAATGAAAGTATTGTATTACTTAAGTCTCTATTCTCTTTTCCTGTTTTTCAGCCTAAAGCCCCAAATTCAGACTGGAGATACTCGGCCTCCCTGAGAGCCGGAGGAGTCATGCAGAGGTAAGACCAACTTTTAAGCACATTAACATCTATTTCCATTGTGTATTTTGTTATGACACCAATTTCAACTGATTCAGAACTCTGAATGATGCTGAAATCATCTGTAAACTACACCATCTTTAAATTTAACATCTTCTTTATACTAGCACAATATCTCTGCACTATATACTTTATGTCTTTATGTATAATTTGTAGAACCCATGTTAAGTATATTAGTTTTGCATTCATCTGTTAGTTCATACCCTGCCCAACATCAGATCATAAAAGTCTGTAAATAATGATTACATTTATAATGAACTGAAACATCACTGTATAAACTAATTTCTAAATGTAATTAATTTATGAGTTGTCCGTAAATAGTATTTCATAGGCTAATGTTGTAAATCAATATGGTAATACAAATCAGATCAAATATTTATGGACTGCGTGACATTTGAAGTGGAGGGTCCCTCACCTTCTTGTCTCCATGGAAATGTTATTGCTTTGTTTTTAATGTTCCACAGTGTCAATTAAACCTATTGTGTCTATCACAAGTGAGCCAAGCAGGTTACAGCACTATGCTACAGTACAATTCAGATCTGTGGAGAATCGTACCTATTCACCGAAGGAATCATAGTATTTTTGAGCAGTAAAAACACACTTAATGAATAAATGCTAGATGGATATGTTTAAAGTCATATCATGGAACATTTCAGGCAAAACAATAACATCTCCAAAATTTGCACAGTGCACTTTGAAATTCAATCGACACACACAGGAAAACAAGAAATCATGAATATGTGAATGAGAATACGTACAATAATGTGACTGTTTTCTGTGTTTTAGCTCGGTGCATATGGAGGAATCATCTGTCCTACAAGGAGCCCAGGGAGTCCTCGTTCAAAACTGGCCGACCGTATCCAGTGCTCCAGGTAACAAACAAGATCACGGAGCTTTCCAGAGACACACACCAAATACACACAGAAGTTTAGACTCACCCAGTACTTGAAGGATATGATTGAAAGATTATTGAAAACAAGTACTTCTTTTGAATTTCAATGTCATTTGAGAACATAATTAAAGCACATAAGAATTATCTACATCATTTAAAGGTGCATTGTGTAAGTTTTCTGGTGGCGGGTCCGCTACCTGGTGGTCTTCATAATAAGTATTTTATTGCTTTGCCATGTTCCACAACCTTCAACTTTTCTATCTCCACTGAGACCAAAATGTCACCAAGGCCAATGTCACCAAGGGTCAGATCTGTGAAGAGGAAAGCCTGCTCTTTTCCAGTGTATTTTTGAGCAATAAGAACACATGCAACTGAATAAATATTTAATAGATCAGTTTAATGCCATACTGGAGAACATTCCTCGCAGCCCTACCCCAGGCACAGTAATAACATGCAGTAGTGTAACGTCAACCAGAAAAGTTGCTCCGTGCACATTTAAGATTCAAAACATACGTATTTGTATTAAGAAAAAAATAATGATCAATATGAGGAAAATAATGGCAATTTTTTGTATTTATTGGCCATATTCTGATCAACCATAAGTACAGTAACAGTGAGAATGCTGGTGACCTATGTTGTCAGTGTTAGCAAGATCAGCTAGTAGAGGTTTAAAGTCGGCTAATTGAGATTAAAATGACATATGGTCAACACGCTAACATCACTTTACTAGAAACAGCAATTGCGTTTGTTCCTACCTGCACTATTTTTTATGTTGCGATGGGGGTAATTTTTATAGCTTTAAAACAACATGAAAAGCACAGAATTTTGTTCATTTCAACAAAAGGAACCCACAGTATTGATGCCTCTGCCCCTGCCCCTCCCCCTCGCCTGATCAGTCATATGCAGTAACGTTTATAACCTCGAATGCTGCTGTTGATCTGTAGTAGATTTTTCGTGCAGTGCCACTATCACTTTGTCAACATGGAGACTGTTGTATAATTAGTAAATCTTCACTGCTTGGCTCAGGTTTGTATGGCTGCCTGCTTTGTGTTCTGCTGTGACAGATGGAGCACAGACCACACCCAGATTAGTCTGACCACACACGCACGTCACACAATGAAATCACTGCTGCGAACAGTCTCACTCATTTGTTGTTGCAACATTAAGAGGTAATTAGGGAGCAAAACTGGACTTGGATAAAACATATATACAGTATGGGTTATTTGTATATAGTGAACAAATCTAAAAAATAGGCAAAATAGCACAGGAAATGTATCAATGAAGACAAGGTTATTGTAAGATGAACAATATTGTTTGAAAAATAAAACATGAGTCTGATGGATGGTTCTGATGTTAAATGTGTATCAACTGTAACAAAACAGTAAAACAGCTTAAATATATAAAGTAAAAACCTCTATATGACTCTTTCCAGTGGTTTGCTGCCTCACTAAAGGATGCAGTTTCCATAGCAACCATTTACCAGACAGAGGGAAACAGGGAGGGGCACGGGCTTGTGGGAGAGGGGTGCTAACATATGGTGTGGGACAGAAAAAGAAGGAAAAAGGGTCAAAATGATCCATGATCAAAATGATGAAAGACAATTTGGAGTTTATTTCCTCATTTGGGGTTAATTTCTCCTTAGGGCTATATTCTGAATATTGTGCCTCACATCACAAACAGCCAAATCCAGAGTTTCACCCATGTTTACACTGCTGCACACTCTTTGTTGTTTGTGTTTTAAGCCAGTGTTGTCACAAAAATATGCAAACACACTTGTTTACAAGGCCTCAGTCCATACATAACTGTATCAAGATAATAAGACAAGCCGTCCAACAGCGCAGTGCAGTATCTACCACCCAGCTGCCTTCCTTCCTTTCAGACTATTATATAACACTGTGTATTTTCCCAACTGGCTAGGCAGAAGAGAATGATGAGATTGAAATGGGACAATTTCAGAAAATATAGTTTTAGTTTGTCTGTTTCTATGTTTTAGATGATTTGTGTAGGATGTGTGTCTGTTAATGGTCACATTTTTTTTATAGCGCTTTTCCACCTTCAAGGCACTCAAAGCGCTTTACAACAAGGAACCACTCACCCATTCACACACACATTCACACACCAGCATACGCAGACACTGTGGGCAAGGTGGGTTAAGTGTCTTGCCCAAGGACACAACAACAGCATTCATCTGTGGGAGCTGGAATCACACCATCCAACCTGTGGGTCAGTGGATCTGACAGCTCAACCTGTGGTGTTTATGTCGAGAGCTGAAATCAAACCACCAACCTTCAGATCAGTGGGCGAATGCTCTACCAACTGAGCAACTGCTGTGTGTGTGTGTGTTTACAAATGAACAAACGATAACAGACATTTCTTTCCCTTGTGTTTCAGATGCTGATGGAGGAGAGGTGTCTCCACCAATGGGAGCAGGCATTGACAGCAACAGCTGGCACTTCCGCTATGGGCCAGGTGGACCTGGTGCGCCACAGCTGAAGCCAGGAGATGTACCCCCAGAGGCCTTCATCATCCCTGGTTCTCCAGCCATAATATCCATCAGACAGAACCAAGGAGATGATGATAAGGGGGATTTCATGAGTTTCGGGAAGAAAGATGAAGCAAAGAAAAAGAAAAAGAAGAAGAAGGAGAAGAAAGAAAAAAAGGATAAGGGGAAGGATGATGGGGATGAGTGAAACATGAACTCAGAATGGCAGACAAACAGGGTGTTGTTAAAACAGAGGTACCAAAGTCCATGGGATACAAAGAAAATGTGGAATTAAATTAGCAGTTTCATTCTTTCACAGATATCTTGCACACCCTGTTGACAACTTGGCCTTACCAAGATTCACCTTACCATGTTTGGGGTATGCTTGAATCTTGCCTTGATACAATTACACATTTTCCTCCATGCCCTTATGTGCCTATACCTTTCATGGAGATGAACGTCTCATTACCTGTAGTCTGTTGCATTGACCCATTGGGCATGTTGGCACCTCTGTATTATATTCTCCCCAACACCCGCCTATGACTCTCTGAGAGGAGAAACATTTGTACAAGAACGACTATTGCTTTGTGCCAGCTAATGAAGAGAATATCAAAGACAATTTGAGCAAATGATTGCAGCTGGACACAAAATGTAAATAGCACAGAAAAGGACACTGGACAAGACACAACTGCCGGCCTGGTCGTTATCCATAATGTTTCCTGTGTTTTCAATGAAACACATGTACACACATGCATGCTTGCCCAACCGAAACAAGCAAATACAACACACTTATGAGCAACTGTAATAAGAGATGAAACTGCTTGTATTCTGGAGAGCAAAAATGCACTCTCCATCTGTAATGAAAGAGCACCAAGAAATGGTGAAACAGATGATTTACTCTTACTGCAGCAAAGACATGTGCTTTCTGCTTTGAATGTTTGGTAGCAACCAATTCTTAACTCTTGCGTTTACAAAACACTTGTGCTCAATATGCCACAACTTACTATTCCTACAAGCACTTGCCAAGCTGGCTCCTGCTTCCATTAATAACAATATAGGGGTTTTGTTTCTTTGTTTGGTTTTTGAAAGCTTTAAGGGTTCAGTGACAGCACCACTGTTTCTAAATTAATATTCTCAGAGCTCTATAAACTCCTGTCAGATGGTTTATATTTTGTTATAGTTTGAAGCCAGAATGCACACTTTGGTAAAGGATAAGACATCCTTCTATATACTTCATGTTTTACTTTATTAATGTTACTGACATACTTGCCTACAAAATATGCAATACATGTCAACATGCAGTTGACAACCAAAATCCTAGATCCACAGAAATCTCCTAAACATTTATTCAACTTCCAGATTTAAGTTGCCTGTGTCTTTTGCCTGGTAATTGCTTCTTTCCACATGCTCAACATTTGTTGACTCAAGTATGATGTCACTCAGTTTAGTGGTTGCTGCATGCGCTCTAAAGAAACACATACTATATAGATAAACACTATATATATATAGATAGTTTTGATTTATTCTTTTGAATTTTCATCCTTTTCATTTATCACTTGAGGGATTATGTTGGGGTACTTCTCTCCTGGCCAAGTATTTGTGTTATTTCTTTTTCTAGCCCGAGATAACGTTTGGCAGACATGAGTATTACAATATTTGTAAATGCGTTAGTGTGATACCTATCATTGCAGGGCTACTTTTTAATTGTGAAATGTTTTGAAGAAGGAAAGCAAGAAAAAAGACAGAAAAAAAAAACACTCTTACATTGACAAGGTGATGAACTAACACTAAAATATTGTAACGGAAATATGTATGATTAGCTATCACTTCCCTGTCTCTCCTGAAATATGGGAGACTGAATCCAATGTAAAAATGTATATGTATTGTATGCCTGTGTTTAGTGACTTTTCACACTAATGTGTGGTGGTGAACTATGGTGGCAATGAGCTGTTCCACGGACCAGCATCGCTCTGTTGTTTCTCTGCCCTCTTTTTTGTAGCTACATCCACTCATCAGCTGTGACAGTGAAATAGTGAATTTTAAATCCCCTTTCTATTATTTTATGCTTTATTTTTACCTATTGGGAAATGATGGAAATTTGTTGGGTTATTAAAATAAATCACAAATAAAACTAAATCTTTAAACATAATGTGTTTTGTGGAATTGGGTGTGTCAAATACAGCAGGCCTATGAGATTTTAGATCTTAAGACAAGTAAGTCAGTGTTACGGCAGATGGGGTGAATAAATGCCCAAAGAAAGTTAACTCTCAGTTCCCTTGGCTTCAGATTTTGTAAGCATATGAACAATTAGCCATATGAAGCAATGTCAGAGCAAGCAGGTCATTATAAACAGTCCAAATGTATTTCAGAAATAATGTTATTGCAGTGAAGGAAAAGAGGTTAAAATATTGAGCAAAAGCATGTATAGGGTTTACGGTTAATCGTTCACACAATAAGCAACTAATCTACTGATGAGGGTAAACTGGCGTCATGCCATGAGATTGCGTGTTCTGTGTTTGCTGCAGTGAGAAGTAGGCTACAAGCCCTGCTTGACTCATGGGTAAAAGGCGCCACCTTTTGTTCAACATTTTAATTGCATTAACTGCCGTAAAATATAGGTTTTCATTTTAGAATTTAGTTGGCCTACGTATTTACATTTTTAGAAATTGGGAAAGCTTAAGGAATTAGGCATTCTCTGTTTGTTGCTCATTTAAAGTTATGTCTCTGCCAAGTGTTCTGCTTTATGTGTTCATGGAGTTCAGCTTCCTGTTTGTAGCTGATATTCTGAAGACTTTTGTGTGACAGACTGCTCTGCTGACTTTTGTTCATAAACGTGAAAGGTGAGTGTTTAAATAACCAAAACTAAAACCAAACTAAACCATAGTTAGCTAGCTTGTGGTAGCTTGTAAATTCATTGTACACAGCTACACATTACAAAATGTGTTCAAGGAGCCTCAAGCAGTGTACAAACGTCCTCCAAACTTCAGACAAATGCTACTAAAATCTGATATGATTTCACCCAAAAGCAGTACATTTTTATACCCTTCAAAGTATTGCTGCGGGTCATGTGCAAAATGTGATTTTCCTTATAAATGTAAAACTTATGCACACCCAAACACAGGGAAGATTATGAAAATCAAAGGGACAGTTACAGGCTCCATGTTTGGTAATGTAGGAAAAAGATCTAGAGCATTAAAGACTCGGACATTGGAACACAGGAGCAATATCAGAAACAGAGACTTAAGACACCTTGTAGCTGCCCATTTTAAAGAAGTGCAGTACCCCATCTCCCTTCCAAAATATATTGGGAGAGCAAGTGAAGCTCCCAAAATGACAATGGATATTAACAGGCTGCTCCTACAAAGAGAAAGTTTTTATATTTATTCCTTAAAAACGCTGGCCCCAAGTGGCCTGAATCAAGAATTTGATATTAAACACTTCTTGTAATGGCATATCTACTGTATTTTAAATGTAATTTACTTGCCCAGTGATAACATATGATTGATGGACTTGGGTAATAGCTTATTTTATATGACGTACAATGCATATTGTGTTATATATTGTGCTATGTGGACATCTCCTATGGCTCACTTTTGGATTGGCCAATCAATCAGAAGGCAGAAGGTTTATATGGGAGTGGCACACAAAGAGAACCATGACCTGACGAAGATCCACTGATCGAAACATTGTCATTCTTTAAAAGCAATTCTGGAGTAAGTATGCAGGATTTGTCTAACTTTCTATATAGTAGCCTTGCACCAGTGATGTGTGTAAAGCTATACCTTTTACGATACACAGCTGCACATATCCTGAAAAGAAAAAAAAAAAAAAAAAGACGGCCCATAGACTGTGTCTGTGTGTCTGTCCCCCTTTCTTACTTTCTTGGGAGTTGTAAAAGAATTTGTACTGAAGGTGGCAATGAAATAAATTTCCTCACTCCTTTGTGCCTCCCTTTGTGGGTTAAGCAGCAAAAGAAAGATTTTTTTTTTTCTTTTGTTATGGATCCTACTTTGATTATTGAGGGACTACACAGACATCTTTAATGTGAGTATTACATTTGTATAGATCTCTGCCCAGGTAAATATGCACACAAAAGTCAAAATAACTAATAAACTGACCAACAAGACAGGAGGAAGCACAACAGAGGCCAAGAGTAACAAAAGTACTTTTTTATTTGGATCCAGACCTTCAATTAGACCTTCAATTAGAGTAACCAATAAGTAATGTGACTATATAAGGACAAGGACATTATGATGCAAGCACAGAGGCTTAATAATCATTAACAGTGACTGATGTTTTGTGGGTTGCTGTCTGTGCAGAGACTGATGGGACTATGCCACATTTGTACAGTTTTAAGGTTTACAAACAATCTCTCGCACTATTTGTCTTTTTAGTTTATCTTTCACAGGTAATCTTTCACACACACACACACACACACGCATGCACCCCCCCCACACACACACACACCATTTCTTGCTCTTTTGCAAACTTTATTATTATTCAAGAGAAAATGGTGATTCTACTATTTCAAGTTTGTTGAAACTAGCTTGAAATATTTATTGCTTTAGAAAACAAATATGAAAAAAGTAAAAAGTAAAAGTAAAATACATTCTTTTGCAGTTAGGTGTGAAGATGAGCATGTATTGCTGGTGTGATGTTTCTTACTGTTACAACTGTACCTCTCACAAATTGTGGAAAATATTTTATAGGTTGTAAGATAACACACAATCTGGTAATGTTTGTTCCTAAGTGTTTCTCTGTTACAATCATTCAGGGTTTGTAAATATCTTTATTATGTGACTAAAACTACAAACAAAAGCATGAAAAATATATGACTAAACAAAACTCCAATACTCACTTTTTGGCACCATGGGTATGTGGTTTATGCAGTAAAACATGTCAAAATCATTGTCCAGGTCCAGAGATGCATTTTCATACATTTATTTCAATGTGGGCTGGCAAATAAGCAAGTTTATATGGTCAGACCTAATTGCTGGATCTCCTGCTGACTGATTAAAAAACATAGGTCCACCCAGATTCACTCTGGTCTACCTCTGCTACCCACCTATGTCATCTGGGCTCTCCACAGACTAAACCAGAATCAGGAAAGGTGCAAGCAAATTAGACCAAAAAAACAAAACAACAACAAAAAACAAACTAACAAAACAAACAAAACATTAACATACCCAAATGATATATTAAATATACAAATTAACCAAAAATGCATTGACATACAAATTTCATGAAACAAAAAGAACAAATCATCGAATAAACAAAATTAGGCAAATAGTGTCTACATGAAGACCTGGACTGGCAAATATTTTGGTGTCTTTCAAGTCTTGACTGAAAGTCGAGGTGACATTACTATGCAGAATATTTTGAGTTTAGACTTTCTATATTATTACAAAGCAAATCAATATTGTTTATGTCTTCCATTTAGGTATATTGGTAACATCTGTAAAAAAAAAAATGTATATCTGACCCTGCTGAATAACCTCTCAACGTGTTTATTGGTTTTGGTTAAAGATGTATATTTTAAATCTTCACTAAGAATGAGGATTTTGACAGGTAAATTAATTCACAAGTTTAAATGTATGTATTATTATTATTATTATTATTATTATTATTATTATTATTATTATTTTATGTTCATAATTAAGATGCATTGTGATAATTCCCCTTTATCTATACTAGCAAAACTCACGTATTTCTAACAATAAAGTCAATATTATTAGACATATATTGACTGCTTCGATTACTGAATTTAACCTGAAAAACTATTTAATGTATTCTTTACTTGAATAGGGACAGACAACAAACACAGATCAACAAGTGAGTCATCTGAAGCAGGTATCACAGTGTTTACAGCCAAGGATACACACTCGGATTCCACCAGCAGGCGTCTCAACGCACTGGCTCGAACATGCTTGTGAGTTAAACACTTGGTGCCGCTGTGGACCAACAGAACTCCCATATCTCCACCCACCGCTGGAAGAACAGCATCACGGTGACACCAAAGGCCGCGGAAGATTGGGAAATGCTGGTTTCGGAATTTAACTGAGGAATATTTAATTCAGGGATTACTGACTACAAATTGTAATAATCGTTGCATTTAGTCCAAGTGGCAGTTCCCGAGCGCGTCAAGATGAGCTGTGGTAAAGGTGTCTTTGTGACTTGCTCGGTGTGTTTTTTTCTAACATTACCCGCTGTTCATAGCGACCTGAGCTACTCCGTTCCTGAGGAAATAAGGATAAACCATGTCATTGGAAATGTTGCAAAGGATCTCGGCCTGGACATTGGGACAATTTCATCGCGGAAAGCTCGTTTGGATTTTGAAGACAAGCAGTTCTGTGACATCAATCTGGTTACGGGGGATTTGATCGCATCCGAAAGAATAGACCGGGAAGCCCTTTGTAACAAAGCAACGTGTGTTTTAAAAGCCGATCTCATAATGGAAAATCCTTTGGAGCTACACCGCGTGAGTCTTAATGTTCAGGATATAAATGATAATTCGCCAACATTTAAAAAGAATTTGATTGAACTGGAAATACAAGAATCAACAGAAAAAGGAAGCCGTTTTTCCCTTGAAGAAGCGCACGATGCAGACATGGGGCAGAATGGAGTTCAAAGATATATTCTTCAGAAAAACGAAAACTTCATCCTTTCCTCCGATAATAAAGTCGAGTTACTCTTGGAAAATAAACTGGATAGAGAAAAACAGAAAAACATGAATTTGACTCTGACAGCTTTTGATGGCGGTTCTCCTCAGAGATCAGGCACTGTAGTTGTACACATCACTGTATTAGATGCCAACGACAACGCGCCCGTGTTCAGCCAAACCGTTTATAAAGCCAGTCTGCCCGAAAATGCCCCAGTGGATACGGTAGTGTTGAAGGTTAGCGCCACAGACGCAGATGAGGGTATACACGGAGATGTGACGTATGATTTGGGCCATCAAACTAAATCTGATGCGTTTTCTATTGATGCTCAGACTGGCGAAGTTCGTGTCAATGGTCCTATTGATTTTGAAGAAAATGACAAATTTGAATTGAGGGTCGAGGCTAAAGACGGACTTGGACTATACTCATTTTCAAAAGTAATGATTGATGTTATTGATATCAATGACA